AGCTGGCGGGGCCCAGTACACATGCCTTGTATGGCTGTGACATCACAGGACAGCCCACACACTTCCCAAGTCCACGACAGAGCTGTGGGGAGGCCATCCCCTGGGGACGGCCAGCATGGGCAAGGGCCACCAACCACACACTCACAGAAGCAGGCTGGACAGGGATGGCTGGGCAGCCCCGAGTCTGGGGTCCCAGGAGGCCAGTACTGGCATCCATTGGGTGCTGCCCATGAGGGTAGCAAATGTGAGGATGAGGGCAAGAGGCGGCAGCACGCAGGCCTGGCTTCCTGCACACCCTGAGGGTCATGGCTTGGCCTCCTAGCAGGCGGCTCGACCACAGGCACCTGCAGCGCCAGCCAGCCCTGCTCTGGCCAAGCCCAGGATGGCAGGCATGGCTGAGAGGGCAGCAGCGGAGGAGAGGACTGGCAGGTGGAGGTGGGAAGGGCTGGGGGCCAGGGTGGGTGTAGCCCCCACCTTTTTCTGCTCTTTGGGCTCCTCGTCCCTAACAGAGCAAGTGGCTGACCCTGCCTGGCCTCGGGAACAGAGTGGGAAAGTGGCTCCCAGTAGCTGACCCTGGAGGACGCGGGCACAGCGGCCCCTGCCCAGGGGACCTGCTGGCTTGGGCAGCTGGGGTCGGGGTCACCATCGGTGCTTCACTGTGACGTGGCTCAGTGACGTTGCACACAGAGGCCACGGGGACACACAGCCCCAGGGAGCACGTGACAAGACAAGGCTGTGTCTATTGATTTTTCTCAGAAAGGCAGTTAAACACACACACACAGAGGCACTCTTCCATCTGCTGGTTCACTCACCAAAGGCCCACAGTGGCCAGTGCCGAGCCAATCCGAAGCCAGGAGCCAGGAGCTTCTTCCGGGTCTCCCACGCGGGTGCAGGTCCCAAGGCTTTGGGCCGTCCTCCACTGCTTTCCCAGGCCACAGGCAGGGAGCTGGATGGGAAGTGGAGCATCCGGGACACGAACCGGTGTTGAAATGGAGTGCCAGCGTCACCGGTGGTGGCTTAACCTGCTTGTGTGATCCAACCAGGGTTCCCTGCAGGGAAGGAGGCCCCTGGGTGAGGAGGGGGAGCAGGTGAGCCGTGTGTGTGTGTGTACGCGCGTGGGTGCACAGGTACTCCAAGTTGCCCACAGTCCCTTTTCCGGTGGCTGTCCCTGCAGCGAGTGCAGCCACCCGTGGCTTCGTGCTCTCCGCCGTGTCATGAGGACCCTGGACTGAACTGGACTTCCTCAGAACTCCCCAGAACTCCCCATGCATCCCCAGCCTGGCCCACGGAGGCCAAGGGTGTGGCAGCAGCGCTGCAGCTGGGGGCCCACCTGCTACAGACAGGGAGGTGGGAGAGCTGCACGCTGGGGCAACGAGGAGCAGGGATGCCTGGCTCGAGTGGGGAGGGCAAACCCACCTGTGGGAGTGGGGAGGCCTCCCGGTACAGGCTGTGGGGAGTGGCCAGGCCGGAGTCTTTCCTGCTGTAGGGGAGCCACCCACCGTCCCTCTGCTCACCTGTAACGACAGTGGTAACCATCCACCCGCCCACCTGCCCATCCATGGGTTCATCCACCGACCCATCTAGCCACCCACCTGCCCATCCATGGGTTCATCCACCCACCCATCTTTCACCCATCTAGCCACCCACCTGCCCACTGGTCCATGCACTTGCCAATCCCTCTTCCTCCCTCCCTCCAGCTACCTCTTTGGTGCTAGCCGAAAGCTTCTGTCTCCACGTGTGGCCCTTGTGGGGACCTGGAGACATGGGTGATTCAAGCCTGGTCCCTGAGCTCAGAGTTTCCAGTGGGAAAACTGACCACAAACTGGTCAAGGCTGCCGAGGACAGAGACTCTGCTGGTCACGGGAGGCCACCTCGTCACAGCAATCACTTCCGGCAAATGAGTCACAGGCGGGCAGAGAAAGTGATGGGGTCCCACGCCCGTCGTGCCCGGTGGGCCACCAGGTTCTGGTGGGGGCAGGTGCGGGGGGACAGCAGGTGGGGCCAGGGCTTTCCTTGCTTGCATCCCATTTCAGGTGCTCATTGGAGTCCTGGCTGCTCATCTTCCCAGCCATCCTCTGCTAGCACGCCTGGGAAGCAGTGGAGGAGGGTCCAAGTGCTGGGCCTCCTGCTTCAGCCTCCCAGCCCTGTCTGTTGTGGCCATCTGGGGAGTGAACCAGCAGACGGGAGTTCTGTGCCACTCTGTCCTTCACAATGGAGCATGCACCCTGACCACCCCCAGGGAGGCATTGCCAGGGAGGATGTCCAGGGCTGGTGCCTCAGCAGCCAGCGTGCAACTGGGCGGGCAGCTGGGTGGCTACAGGGCTCCACGTGGTGAGTTTGGCCAGAGAGCACAGACTGCAAGCAGGAATCCCACAGCGGCTGCTGAATGAAGCTTGGCCTGGGGCCTTCCTGCATCCCATGGAGGCAGAGGCAGCCCGTCCCCGCCCCTCAGGCAAAGGCTGTCCTGCTTAGATGGCCGCAGTCCTCAGGGCCACTGGTCCTCAGCACAGCTGGCCATGGGTGTGGACAGGAGGGCAGCGTCCCCGGCTGGTGTCCCCTGGCCCTGCCCTTGCCCCGCCCTGGGGTCCCCAGGCCCTGCCCTCGCCCCGCCCTGGGGTCCGGGCCCCCTCAGTGGCGTGATGAACAGCCAGATCCTCCTAAGATGACACTGCTTGTGCAGGCTTGGCTCCCTGCAGACGGAAACAGGCTAGGAGTGGAGGAATTTCTGCAGATTGGACGGAGGCCACTGACACAGATCTTGGGGTGGAGCAGTCCTGGGCTTTGTTTTTCCACCCCCAGGGCTCAGCCCCCGGAAGATGCGTGCTTTCTCTCTCAGGGGACTCTGGTGGGAAGTGCAGAGCCCAGAACAAGATGGGGCAGCCTGAGGCGCTGGGCCCACAGCTGTAGGTGTAACCTCACGGGAGGCTGCACTCGCCCGCTGACCCCCACAGAGCCCCAGCCTCCTCCCCAGTGAGAGCACATCGCCTTCCCAGCAGGCAGAATAGAGTGCCCAAGGGGCTGTGCCAGGAACCTGGAACCTGGTCCCTCCTGCTGCCTCTGGGGTGCACGTGAGCAGGGAGTTGGCTGCACCCCAGGCACCCCAAGGTGCGACGCAGCCGTCCTGGCCACAGCTTGGCCCACTCACCCCAAGAGGCGTGGAGGAATGTAGAGTTTCTACCAGTCTTATTTGTGTGCAAGAAATTAAGTCTGCACATCCCCCCGCCCGCCCCCGCACTGGAGGACTCCACACTGTTAACATTGCGGGGAAAGCAGAGCTTGCCGCTGTTGTCTGCAGCAAACGGACACGGGCTGGGGGGCAGCCAGTACACCAGGGCCGGTTCACACCCCAGCTGCACCACTGCCAACCCAACTACCTGCTCAGGCACCTGGAAAATGGGCAGAAGCTATCCCAAGTGCTGGGGCCGCCACCTTGCCACGCAAGACATGCGGCTGGAGCTCCTGGCTGCCGGCTCTGACCTGGCCCAGCCCAGGCTGCTGCAGGCCTCGGGTGTGAAGAGTGGACGCAGATAGCCCTGGAGGCTCTGCCTTTCAAATGACCGTTCCAAAGCTGACCTGGCCCCAACCCCCCTTGTAACCACAGACCAATGGCCACCCTTGGCCCTCTGCTCTAGATGGGACACCTGCCACTCATCTGGGGCCCCCGTGCTGTCCTGCTGCCCCTGCATGGTCACTGCAGCTACCTGGGCCCCAAGGCCCGTGTCTGTCCCCCAACCCCGCCCTGTAGGGCTGGCAGCAATGATGCCAGCCCTCCCTCCTCCTCCTGGGCTCTGAACCCCCTGCACTGGGTCTCTTCCTTCTCTATTGTCCCCATTCTTCCAGCTGCCTGCTGGGGTCCCTGCTGAGTTCTCACTTGCTAAGATCCCTCAGGCGGGGAGGCAGCTCCGCCCGGTGCCCTCTGCAGCCCCATGGCCTCTCAGCTGTCCTCAGCTGACCCTGCGGACACTTGGGGGACCTGGCTCTACCTGGGAACAGTATTTGCAATTGTCCTATTTTCATCAACTCCAAAGTCATTTTACCGTATTGTTGCCTGTGCACCTGACTCAATTCCATTCTGTGGGCAGGGCTGGGGGACAGGCAGGACAAGGGGTGGGCAGGACTGGGGGAGTGGCAGGGCCGGGGGGATGGACAGGGCTGGGGGATGGGCAGGGCTGGGGAGGGGCAGGGCTGGGGAGGGGCGGGGATGGACAGGGCTGGGGGAGGGGCAGGGCTGGGGGAGGGCAGGACTGGGGGAGGGCAGGACTGGGGAAGGGACAGGGCTGGGGGATGGGCAGGGCTGGGGAATGGGCAGGGCTGGGGGAGGGGCAGGGCTGGGGATGGACAGGGCTGGGGAAGGGGCAGGGCTGGGGGAGGGCAGGGCTGGGGAAGAGGCAGGACTGGGGGAGGGGCAGGGCTGGGGGAGGGCAGGGCTGGGGGAGGGGCAGGGCTGGGGGAGGGCAGGGCTGGGGAGGGGCAGGGCTGGGGGAGGGCAGGGCTGGGGGAGGGGCAGGGCTGGGGGAGGGCAGGGCTGGGGGATGGACAGGGCTGGGGAAGGGGCAGGGCTGGGGGAGGGCAGGGCTGGGGAAGAGGCAGGACTGGGGAGGGCAGGGATGAGGGAGGGCAGGGATGAGGGAGGGCAGGGCTGGGGAGGGCAGGACTGGGGGCAGGCAAGTCTGGGGAGAAAAGAACTGTGGGAAGGGCAGGCATGAAACTGCCCCCACCCACTGCCCCTGGGGACAAAGAGAGGGAGCACAAGCCATCCCGACATTCACACACCCACTCATTCTGACACCCCATGGGGAAACACCTGTTGAAGGGTAGCTCCCTGCTCCCCCTAAGAAAGTGACCAAGCCTTGGGGCTCCTGAGGACCAGGTTGCTGTCCTGACAGCTGGCTGTGGCCGACAGCATCAGCCCACACGGTTCTCACACAGCCAGGCGAGCTGACTCAGAGCCGCCCCATTTGGCGCTTAGCAAAGCAGAGCTTTGTAGAAATTATTTCCTGTTTACTCAAAAGATTGTATCTGCAGAAAATGTGGAATAATGAGCATCCCGTGTTATGACGCCAGCTGCACTGCGGGTCACCAACACGCCCCTGGGGTCGGCCCGAGCCCCTTCTCAGCCCGGTGGCGCTGTGGGCCGGAGGGGTGTGGCTGCAGCGGCCTGACAGCCTTGCTCTGCACCCTTGGTAGCCTCCATCGGGTCCGGTGCAGGCCCGTGCTGGTCAGCTACAGCTGTGCCTTCAGGCGCCCTGGCACGGGCTTGTGGACGGCCTGCTCCGCCCACCAGGCAGGCCGCTCCAGCACGCTGCGCTCCTGCAGGACACTGGTCCAGAGGTTCTTGTAGAGCTGTGGGGGACACGCGGGGCCACGTGAGTGCTGAGCCACACAGGGGGTGCCTTGGGTCTCACGCACGCACCCCCTGCACCCTGCCTCAGCTGTGTCAAAGGCACAGGAAATCCCCCACGGTCGTCTTGCAGAGCCTTGATGATTTACGGCCAATTTATGGACACACTTTATTTCTGAGAAGCTGGGATTGGGAAAACTCAATTATAGTACAGCCCAAGACGTGACTGACTTGGGGAACAGCTCCATGCTTCCCATGGGAGTCCTGTGGCTGCTTGGCCTCAAATGGGTCCTTGGACACCCCTCCCCCACCCTGCTAGCTGGGCTCACCATGCCTGGTCACATGGTCCTCAGCCCTGCTGGCCCATCCCACAGCGGGGTCCCACTGCTGTCACCCCGACTTCCCCTGACCCCACCAGCCCTGAGGGGGTTTCTGCCTACCTGGCCATCAGCCTTGCCGATTGGCGAGTCCAGGATGAAGTCGGGGGGAGCGATGACATCCACCAGGGCCACAGCGTCATCTTTCAGCTGTTAGGGAATGGAGCCCAGGCTCTTGGTGCCCGGCCAGCTCCACAGAGACCCCTGAGCTAGGTGCCCGGCCAGCTCCACGGTGACCCCCTGGAGGCTGTGTGCATGGCCAGCTCCATGGTGACACCACCTGCCCCTATCCCCACCCCGTGCTTGGTGCACAGCCAGTTCCATGGTGACCCTCAGGGGCCCATGGGGGCTGTGCCTGCTCTCTGTGACAGGAACCTGAGCAGACACAGGGCCCTTCCTATCCAATCCTCCCCTTCCTAGCCTGCACTGCGGGGTCCCCGGGAGTGCATCTGAGTACTTTGATGCATGGCTGGTTGCTCCATGCCACGGGGTGGGCTATGGTGCCCATCGGCTATTGCCTTCCCAGGTAGCCCCTGGCCCTGACCTGGCAGGACGGCTGCTTCTCCAGTCCGAGGAGCCAGACCCAGAGATTGGGGGCAGGGGTGGGAGCAGGGCAACCTTGTGCTCCCTCCAAGGCCTGTGATTACTCCGAGACCCCAGGATTGTCTTGAAGCACAAACCCACTCCCGGCAAATACTTGATGACACACCATGGGCAGTCACCTTTCATGGGGCCCAGGAAGAGGGCAGGATGCAACGACCTGCGGAGCGACAGAGGGGACGGCCCCTCATATCGAAACCACACCTGCCCTATTGCACATAGAGGTGCTGCTGTTCCTGGTCCACAGGACCACGTGCCAGCCCCTCTGCCTGGCTGACCTCGGTCGCCAAGGGAATGAGGCAGTGGGGACATGGCTGCTCTGTGGCAGCAAAGAATGCTGGGGACCCCGGGCACGACCAGTGCCACCCTGCAGAGTCCCCGCTGACACAGCAGTACCTTGCAGCCTGGGGCTATGGTGGTGGGCGGGGCTGAGGCAGGGAGAGAACCAGCCCCAGAGGCAGGACTGCCACCTGAGCCATGGGAGAAGCGGCGGGCGGCCCGTGGGACTAACTCTCATCCCAGTGCCAAAGACTTTCTGGGGCTCAGTCAACCGTTGCAGCAGCCTCTGCAGGCGAATGAACCCCAGGCCTTAGTTCAGCATCACCCTCGGCTCAGCAGCCAGGACGCAGGGCTGCAGCCCGAGGGCAGAATGCTGGCGGGTTGGTGTGGCCCACGCAGAGGCCTGAGCACCACTGCCCGCCCTGCCCGGAGCACGGGACCGCACCTGGAGTTTGCTCACCTGGGCACACAGGTCCAGGATGGCAGCCTCCAAGCTCTTGCCCGCCTGCTCCCCCGACAAGTATCCACCTGCAAACACAGCCCCGGTCACACGAGCACGCCAGGAACAGCCCTGCAGAGGCCTGGCCCTGAGACGGGGTGACCAGCTCAGGGTGCAGACTCAGTTCATGGACAGTTCATGGCCATGGGGCGGCGTAGGGAGCCGGCCCGCCACAGGTGGGAGCGTGGGGCTGGGGGCCAGAGGGGCTGAGCAGCACAGGGGATGGAGGGAGGCTGTGCCTGGTTTTCCTGTGGGTCCGAAGGCCCAGGGGACAGAGCCTGGTGTGCCTAAGGCTGTGACTGGCAGGACCTGGGCGTGTCCCTGGCCTCCTGGGAGGTATTGGGGGAGTGGTAGGTGTTGCCTGGCTAGTCCTAAGCCCAGAACCACACACAGCAGGGAGGGACCCACTCTCTCTAGGGCAGCAAAGCTCTGTGGCCCAGGGCGAGGGCATCGGGAAGGTTAGAACACAGCGGTAGGTTGGGCCAGTTACCAGACCCTCCCCTGCCCCCACTTACTTGCCCCTGACCCAGGAGCTGACTTCAAAGGGACTCTGGGCCAAGGGGAAGTGGCAGGTGCAAGACCCCACCCTAAGCAGCTCAGTGATGCAGTCTAAGTGTCTCCTCTATCTCCAGTCCCGTCAGCTGTGACAGGTGCCTGCAGTCACAGCAGGGCACCCCCCCACACACCCTCAGCTGTGACAGGTGCCTGCAGTCACAGCAGGGCACCCCCCCACACACCCTCAGCTGTGACAGGTGCCTGTGCAGTCACAGCAGGGCACCCCCCCACACACCCTCAGCTGTGACAGGTGCCTGTGCAGTCACAGCAGGGCACCCCCCCACACACCCTCAGCTGTGACAGGTGCCTGAAGTCACAGCGGGGCACCCCCACACCCTCAGCTGTGACAGGTACCTGTGCAGTCACAGCGAGGGCACCCCACCTCAGCTGTGACAGGTGCCTGTGCAGTCACAGCAGGGCACCCCCCCACACACCCTCAGCTGTGACAGGTGCCTGTGCAGTCACAGCGAGGCCCCCCCACACCCTCAGCTGTGACAGGTGCCTGTGCAGTCACAGCGGGGCACCTCCCACACCCCCAGCTGTGACAGGTGCCTGAAGTCACAGCGGGGCACCCCCACACCCTCAGCTGTGACAGGTGCCTGTGGAATCACAGCAGGGCACCCCCCTCAGCTGTGACAGGTGCCTGTGGAGTCACAGCGGGGCACCTCCCACACCCTCAGCTGTGACAGGTGCCTGCAGTCACAGCGGGGCACCCCCACACCCTCAGCTGTGACAGGTGCCTGTGGAGTCACAGCGAGGCCCCCCACACCCCCAGCTGTGACAGGTGCCTGCAGAGTCACAGCAGGGCACCCCCCACACCCTCAGCTGTGACAGGTGCCTGTGCAGTCACAGCGGGGCACCCCCCCACACACCCTCAGCTGTGACAGGGGCCTGAAGTCACAGCGAGGCCCCCCCACACCCCCAGCTGTGACAGGTGCCTGTGGAATCACAGCAGGGCACCCCCCTCAGCTGTGACAGGTGCCTGCAGTCACAGCGGGGCACCCCCACACCCTCAGCTGTGACAGGTGCCTGTGGAGTCACAGCGAGGCCCCCCACACCCTCAGCTGTGACAGGTGCCTGCAGAGTCACAGCAGGGCACCCCCCACACCCTCAGCTGTGACAGGGGCCTGTGCAGTCACAGCGGGGCACCCCCACACCCTCAGCTGTGACAGGTGCCTGTGCAGTCACAGCGAGGCCCCCCCACACCCTCAGCTGTGACAGGTGCCTGTGCAGTCACAGCAGGGCACCCCCCCACACACCCTCAGCTGTGACAGGTGTTTGTGGAGTCACAGCGGGGCACCCCCCACACCCTCAGCTGTGACAGGTGCCTGTGCAGTCACAGCGAGGCCCCCCCACACCCCCAGCTGTGACAGGGGCCTGAAGTCACAGCGAGGCCCCCCCACACCCTCAGCTGTGACAGGGGCCTGTGCAGTCACAGCGCCCCTTCCCCCCACCTCTGGGAGGTCTCACCTCGGTAGAGCAGGGCAGTGTGTTGGCTCAGAGACCACAGGGAGTAGAGTGCACTGAGCCGGCCCAGCACAGCTCGCAGCGGGCCTGGCACACTGACATGGTGCGTGTAGCTGAGGAACCGCTGTACCACCGTGAGCTCCATGAAGGCCAGGGCCAGGGACCGGCAGTGATAGACCTGAGAAATGGGCACAGGGACTCTGCTCAGAGCCCCGCCAGGACATACCGCCAGGATGGGGCACTCAGGCATCCCCAAGGGAACGTGGCACCATGAGCTCTGAGACCCGGGGGACTCCATGTGGAGCCTGGGGGACACAGCTGTGGGAGGCCACATCAGGGAGCCCACGGTGCCTCTTGCACATCTACTGGAGTACACATTAGGGTTTGGGGTGCTGCTTGGGAGAAGCCCACTGCTCGAGGGTCTTCCCACTGGCCCTGCACACGCAGAGGATGTGGCTGCTCCAGCCCCTTTCTCACTTGTCACATCCACAAACACAGACCAAGCCAAGCAGGGCCGGGGCGGGCGGCCAGGGCGGGCAGCCTGGGAGGCAGGGCCACGGTGCCTCCCTCGGGCCCAGCTGCGTCTCTCCGGCCCAGCGTCCACAATACAGGCTGACAGTCACAGCTTCCTTTACGAGCTTTCCTTCCTCCCACCACCTCTTCCCAGATTGCTGTCTTAATCAGAAAAACAACACGTGGGGTTTGTGGCTCACTACCGCGTGCACGCACTGTGCCTGATGGAACAGGACCACGCAGGCAGGGGTGTGGAGCTGGGGCAGGCGTGCAGGGCCGGGGCAGGCGTGCAGGGCTAGGGCAGGCGTGCAGGGCCGGGGCAGGTGTGCAGGGCCAGGGCAGGTGTGCAGGGCCGGAGCAGGCGTGCAGGTCCGGGGCAGGTGTGCAGGGTCAGGCAAGCGTGCAGGGCTGGGGCAGGCGTGCTGGGGGCCTCCTGTGGCCCACACCCATCAGCATGTGGCTCTGACGTCCAGATTCATGCTCAGAGATGCTTCAGACCCGGGGTCAGGCGCTGGGACCCGCGTCCATGCATGAGAACCAAGCCCACCCTCGGCCATGGTGGCAGAGATGGGGCTATCCCCACCAAAGTTAGGAAGTCCTAGGCAAACACCCGAGGTATAACAGAAGGAAGACTCCCGGGGCTGCTGCATCACACAGGGACTGTGTCGGGGTAGCGTCCAGGGCCCCGCTGTGCACCCCAAGTGCCCAGGAAGCCACGCCACAGATCCTGCAGTTCCAGCTCTGGCCTACAGGCTAGACACCATGAGGCGGCCCAGCACCCTGGCCTCTTGCACACGTCCCGTGGCACAGAGCAGCCAGGTGAGGCATGGCAGGCTAGCAGCAAGCAGACGAACAAGGAGCCAGCGACCCCAGGGACAAGCGTCAGACCGGCTCGTGCCGCACCTGGCAGTTGCTTCTGGCTTCGAAATCACTGCATCCGGACGCTCTTTCCCAGTGGAGTTTCTGACGAGTCTCCCGGAGCAGGTAGCAAACCAACCATTTATATGCGGCCAGAGGGGCTTCAATACGAGAGAGGGGGAAGAGGGAGTGGCCACATGGCATCTGAAACGCATCACACACCTGCCCCGGGCCAGCCAGCACCATGCACACGTGTGCGAGGGAAGAGGCGGGTCCAGGTTTGCAGGCAGGGGCTGGGTGGCACCCAGGCAGGCACTGGGGGTTCCTGGCTCAGCCGCAAGACTGCCCTGCCTCATGCAGGATGAGCTCCAGGTCCCTGGTCCCATGCTTGGTCTGTGCGAGACATGGTGCCATGGCAGAGGCCAGCACGGAGCACGCACGTGCACTGTCCATGTGGCCCACTGGTGCATGACGCACTCTGTGCTGGGGCCGGAGCTCCCCCTCGACGTGCTGTCCACTGTGAAACTGACCAGGCCAGAGGGAGGCCGCGGACACACAGCATGCAGGAAGCCCCTCCTCTCAGGGAGGACTCCCGGGCCGCGGGTGGGGGCTGGGGACCTAGACCAGCCCTGGGCCTCTGAGGCCAGGAGCCCCTCGTGCCAGGCAGCTGCTCACGGCTCAGAGCTCATGGGAGACAGAAGGGGGACCCAGTGCCAACGGGGTCTTAGGATGCCCTCGGACGAAGGCCCTAGGCCTTACACATGGTCTCAGCTACCCATAGGCAACTTAGGTCCAACAAGGAGGAATGGAAAATTCAAGAAATAAAAATTCCATATGTGTAAATGGCTTGGTGTTCCAGGCTGTGTGATGATGCAAGCTCACACTTGCATCATGGGGTCAGTGTGTCCCTCACACACACACACACACAGGTCCCCACAGGCCTCCACCCTGTGAGTGTGTGAGACAGTCCCCACAGGCCCATTGGTGTAGACCTAACAGGTCCTCTGCCCTGTGTGTCGTACGTGAGGGACACACGGTCCCCAGGGGCCCTCTGCCCTGTGTGTGTGTGTGAGACACACGGTCCCCACAGACCCTCTGCCCTCTGTGTGTGTGAGACACACAGTCCCCACGGGCCCTCTGCCCTCTGTGTCAGCACATCAGGGACAGGCAGCCTGCGTGCCAGTACTCGAGCTCTGCTTCCACGTGTCCGTGGACCTCCGGGGTGCCACCATCTGTGCCTCGCTCCTCTGCAGACTTGACAAGGCTGCACCACCCTACACACAGCACTGCAGCCGGGGAGCCGAGGCAGGCATGCCAGGCCCTGCCCCCAGCCTGCAGCTGAGCCTGGGCAGGGACAGAGGCCAGGAGGCAGTGGGGAGTGAGCGGGCAGACACATGACGTCATGGCCAAGGTTCAAGCAAGGGCACATGGCAAGCCAGCGATGCCAGCACTACGCGGCAGGATGAGAACCAGCTGGCAGGGACTCAGGCTGCTCTCTGGGCCACCAGGCAAGGGACGGAGGAATGAGGTTCTGGGGAGGGACCCTCCAAGTCCCCTTGCAACGAGTGTCCCGAGAACAGGTGAAGGCCCACATAGCGCCTCCCTGGCTGGGCCTGGAGCCTCCCACGTCCGTGCCCAGTGCAGCACAGCTCACCTGCGGGATCCAGCCAGTCGGCTGCACAGGAGCCCGTGAACCGCTGGCCCAGGCTGCTGGGGTAAGCCTGCAGGAAGTCCACCGACTTCAGGGGGCTCCTCAGGCCGGCTCTGTCTGAGACACGCAAAGGAGAGTCTGAGAGAGACTGGGCATGCTCCACCACGGTAAGTGACCAGGCTGAAAGCTGGGGTGCCCCTGCCCCATCCTCCTCATGGCTGTGCTGGGTATACCTGCCCCATCCTCCCCACGGCCGTGCACAGGTAGTCCAAGCAGGTAGTTGCTGGTCTGTTGCAGGAGGACACTGTTGTCGCCCTCGTAGGTGCAGTTAGGGTCGTTGTCATCCCGGAGCTTGCCCAGCCGGTTCACTGCAACGAGACCCCAGCTCATCGCGAGCTGTGCACCTTGGGTGGGGCGGTGGCCCAGCTGCAGGTAAAGCCACAGACGTGGGCCGTGGGGGCTCAGACACGTCCTGCAGGGTTCCAGCCAGCACTGGCGTACGCTGAGCTAAGCATCTCAGAGCGGCCGGGAGGCCAGGGACTGCTGAGTGGCTGACGGACAGCCAGTGCCCACAGGCCAGGCGGTGGGGGCTAGAGGATTTGTGGCTGCCCGGCCCCCTTACTGGAAAGGCACCCACAAGCCCCCAGTGCCCCACCCTCTGAGCCTTGGTCCCTGGGCGGGGACACACTCAGCTGCAGCCCACAACACTGTGACGAGTGACAGCTTGTTCCCAATCACATATTTAAGAGGGCTGAAGTGGGAGGGCAATGAAGACGGGAACGGAGTCCAGCAGCAGGGCGGCATGGGCAGTGCGCAGTGGCCAGCAGCTGCCACGCCCACTCACTGCTCACCAGCACCTGTCCCACCACACGGGCAGAGCCACCGCCCACCGGCTCACCCAGAGGCCAGCCCCTGTGTGGCCATTCCTGAGTTCATCAAAACCAACTCAGGAGTTTCCCATTGGAACTGCCCAGGTTTGAGTCCCGGCTACGGCTGAGAGGCGTCCAGCATACCTGCTCACCCTTTCTCCACAAGCTGCCACCCCCAACTTCTGACCAAGATGCGGGAGGTGCTGGAGCTGTGGGCTCCGTAGCACACTGCCACGTCCATTACCAATGCCATCTTGACTGCCACCTTGACGGCGCAAGAACAGCTAAGCGGCCTGGAAGCGAGTGTGTGTGGTCGTGTTCCAATAACTCTATCCTCCAGCAGCCTGCACGTGGCTGTCTCACCATCTGCTGGCCCTGGCCCAGCCTCAATCGGGCGGCAAAGCTCAGACCACCGCTGCCGCACGCCTGTCTGAAACCTACTGGCCAAGTAGCCGTGTCCTCCGCACGCCTCCCGACACTCCTGGATCCCACGCTGGGCAGTCCACGAGACCAGGGGTTTGCCACCTGATGCCAGGGCGTGGATCTCACGGCCAAGCTCCTCCTTTGGGGGAAGGAATGGAACCGGAGCTGGTGAGAGATGTCAGACCTGCCCCAGAGCCCCACGGGGACGGGGCTGGCCTCAGAGCCCCACGGGGACGGGGCTGGCCCCAGAGCCCCACGGGGACGGGGCTGGCCCCAGAACCCCACGGGGACGGGGCTGGCCCCAGAGCCCCACGGGGACGGGGCTGGCCCCAGAGCCCCACGGGGACGGGGCTGGCCTCAGAACCCCACGGGGACGGGGCTGGCCCCAGAGCCCCACGGGGACGGGGCTGGCCTCAGAACCCCACGGGGACGGGGCTGGCCCCAGAGCCCCACGGGGACGGGGCTGGCCTCAGCACACACGTGCACCACACTATCCACTCGTGATCTGCTCCAGAGGCCCTGGGAGCAGGAAACCCATCCTAACAGGGACGCAGGCATCCCGCGACTCTGGGCCTGTGTCGAAGGTTCTGACTGGCATCTTCTCTGCCTGGGAAGCGGCACCAGGGATCCACGGGAGATCCACTCATGGATGAACCGTGCAGGTCAGCTCCAGCCTCACCCTGCAGTAGTTGCACGTCCATGCTGGTGCTGCCCCCTGCCTGCTTGGTTGGCCCCACCCAGACTCCACAGTTATCTGAGCAAGGACTAGAAGCATGAAGTCCACAAAGGTCAGGGGAAGAGTGGGCCCGGCCAGCATGGGCTGGGAAGCAGGACAGCCGCTCAGGTCCCAGTGATGCAGGGAAATGCAGCTGCACGCCTGTGCCTGTGCTACCCACGCCGACTCCCCAGTGCCACCCAGCCTCACCTGCCGGGCACTCCGCTCTCCCCCGAGCAGGTCCTGCTGGAGCTCCACTAGGTCCAGGAAGAGCGACTTGGAGAAGTATTCCAGGGCGAAGATGGCCGCCAGGTAAGGAAGCAGGCGCCATTGCTGCAACGGGGGGGGGGGGGGGGGCGTGCAGTGTCAGCACCCCCTGGTTCCGGGCAGCGCACACACTTCTCTGGGGTCTGAGCCCACCAGGAGACCCCACCCCAGGACCCTAGGATTCCGCCAGATTAGCCGTCCCATGGCAGCTGCTGCGTGCAGGCTTGCGGCCAACCTCAGACGTAGCCCCGGAACACCTATCGCTCACAACAGCCCACCCAGACCATGGCAGCGACCAAGGGCTGGCCCAACAATGGCAATGAGAAAGGCAGCCCATGGAGATGGACTTTAGGCCTGACACATGGGCAGGCTGGCATAGTGCATTGGGAGCCTGGGGAGAGAAGGAGGTGCAGGGCTGGGGTTCCCATAGAGCCAGACACCCCTCAAAGCACATGGGGCGCAGCTTTATCCATGCTAAGCTGGAGCCTCAACGGGCTGGGGTGGGCACGAACAGATGGGCAACAGGTGAGTGAGGGATGGATGGTGGCAGCGTGTGTGTGCATGGAGGCAGTGAGTGTGTGCATGGAGGCAACGAGTGGGTGTGCATGGAGGCAGTGTGTGTGCATGGAGGCAACGAGTGGGTGTGCATGGAGGCAGTGGGTGTGTGTGCATGGAGGCAGTGGGTGTGTGTGCATGGAGGCAGTGAGTGTGTGCATGGAGGCAACGAGTGGGTGTGCATGGAGGCAGTGGGTGTGTGTGCATGGAGGCAGCGTGTATGTGCATGGAGGCAATGAGTGGGTGTGCATGGAGGCAGTGGGTGTGTGTGCATGGAGGCAGTGGGTGTGTGTGCATGGAGGCAGTGAGTGTGTGCATGGAGGCAGTGGGTGTGTGTGCATGGAGGCAACGAGTGGGTGTGCATGGAGGCAGTGTGTGTGCATGGAGGCAGTGGGTGTGTGCATGGAGGCAACGAGTGGGTGTGCATGGAGGCAGTGTGTGTGCATGGAGGCAGTGGGTGTGTGTGCATGGAGGCAGTGGGTGTGTGTGCATGGAGGCAGTGAGTGTGTGCATGGAGGCAACGAGTGGGTGTGCATGGAGGCAGTGGGTGTGTGTGCATGGAGGCAGTGAGTGTGTGCATGGAGGCAGTGAGCGTGTGCATGGAGGCAATGAGTGGGTGTGCATGGAGGCAGTGTGTGTGCATGGAGGCAGTGGGTGTGCATGGAGGCAGTGTGTGCATGGAGGCAACGAGTGGGTGTGCATGGAGGCAGTGTGTGTGCATGGAGGCAACGAGTGGGTGTGTGTGCATGGAGGCAGTGGGTGTGCATGGAGGCAACGGGTGTGTGTGCATGGAGGCAGTGAGCGTGTGCATGGAGGCAATGAGTGGGTGTGCATGGAGGCAGTGTGTGTGCATGGAGGCAGTGGGTGTGTGTGCATGGAGGCAGTGGGTGTGTGTGCATGGAGGCAGTGGGTGTGTGTGCATGGAGGCAGTGTGTGTGCATGGAGGCAGTGGGTGTGTGTGCATGGAGGCAGCGTGTATGTGCATGGAGGCAGTGAGTGTGTGCATGGAGGCAGTGGGTGTGTGTGCATGGAGGCAGTGAGTGTGTGCATGGAGGCAGTGAGTGTGTGCATGGAGGCAGCGTGTGTGTGCATGGAGGCAGTGAGTGTGTGCATGGAGGCAGTGAGTGTGTGCATGGAGGCAGCGTGTGTGTGCATGGAGGCAGTGTGTGTGCATGGAGGCAGCGGGTGTGTGTGCATGGAGGCAGTGGGTGTGTGCATGGAGGCAGTGAGTGTGTGCATGGAGGCAGTGAGTGTGTGCATGGAGGCAGTGTGTGTGCATGGAGGCAGCGGGTGTGTGCATGGAGGCAGTGTGTGTGCATGGAGGCAGCGGGTGTGTGTGCATGGAGGCAGTGGGTGTGTGCATGGAGGCAACGAGTGGGTGTGTATAGTGACAGGAGAGCCGGTGTGGACAGTGCACCTGCACACACTATGAGGACACACCTGTGGCCTGTACACACCACGGGGCACACATGTGACCTCACAAGCACACACTCGGGGCACACCTGTTCCCAGCATCCTCCCTGCCTCACTCCCTCCCCTGTTCCTCACTTCAGCACAGACCAGGCCCCTGTTCAGCCTCGAGCAGCCTCTATCTGCTGCCCCGCCGGCTGCCTCAGGAGCCCCTGGCCGGGAGGTGGCCAGCGGAAGAAGGACGTGCAGACCCGTACCTGCACCTGGTACTCCAGCACAGGCACTTCCTCCTCGTCCGTTGGCCCGAACTGACGGCGTGTGGCGGAGAAGCGCAGGGCGATGGTCACCGCCAGCTTAAGGTGCATCACCGCCACGTTCATGATGCAGACGCGGCCTGCGGACAGGCTGCCCAGCGTGGCGCCCAGGCGCTGCCTGGTGTCCTGGCAGGAAGGGCGGGCCAGAGTGGGACGGCGGGACGGCAAGGGCCCGTCGAGGCACCCTGAGCCGCAGCCCTCCAGGCATGGGTCAGCAGCCAGCAGGGACACCCAGAGGACCAGAAGCAGCTGCTGGGGGTGCCTGCGGGGCCCACACAACGCACTTGCTTCCCCAGGTTTGGGCGGTGTGAACGCAATCCCCCCCTGTGGTCGGAGCACGAGAGTCCATGTCTCCCGTGGGCCTTGGGTCCAAGCACCCCCAACAGGGGCCCCTGCTCTCTCTCCAGCACTGTCCCTCCCCGCACTCCGCAGGACAGACCCCCTGGCCCTAACAGTGCTGGGAGGAGTCGGTCGTCCCTCCCGGCCAGGACCATGTCAGCCCAGGCCCCAGCACAGGCTAGGCAGCTGCCCCCAGGTTCCCCTGCTGGCTCGGGGCAGCAGAGGTGCAGCCCAGCCCAGCAGGTGGCGAGGTCTCCCTTGGGGTGCTGAGCAGGAGGCCCCGCAGGACCGGCTGCCCTACCTTGAAGCGGGTAACATAGGCGCCCTCGGGGGTGACGTCTCCAACGCGGTTGAGGAGGTTCTCCCGGGGGATCCTGACCTTGTGGAACATGGCAAACCTGCGGGAGGGAACTGTGGGCTCTGTTCCAGCTCGCACCAGCCCCGGGGCGACTCCCGGGGCACCAAGCCCCAGACCATGGCAGGAAGATGTGAAGCCAGCAGCCTCCCACAGCCAGCCTGGCCACCAGGGGGTTCTGTGGGACAGGCTGAGGACACGGTCCAGGGCAGGGCCAGGCAGGTAGCACCTGGGCAGCGTGCAGGACTCCACGCAACCACTGGCCATCTCCCCAGGGACCCACAACAGGAGGGGCTAGGCAGAGGAAGCCGGGTGCTGCGAGCTCCAGCCCCTCCCACAGAGCTGGCAGGAACCCATGCCCTTGGCCCACCGTCTGCTGCCTTGCCAGGGCGCACATGACCAGGAAGCTGAGATCCAGTATCAAACCCAGGCCCTTGGATGAGACGCCAAACCCCTGAGGCACACTCTCAAACACAGGAATCTCTGAGCTGGCTTGGTGACGTAGCAGGTAAAGTTGCCGCCTGCCACACTGGCATCCCTTACTGATGCCTGTTGATGTTCCAGCTCTTCTACTTCTGAGCCCATTCCTGCCTACTGGCCTAGGGACAGAAGAGAGCCCGAGTGTCTGGCCCGTCAGCCCCACGAGGGTGAGGGTCAGGATTAGGGTCAGCTTTGGCCTGGTCCAGCCCTAGCTGCGTTTCCATCTGGGAGTGAACGAGCAGATGGAAGATCTTTCTCCTTGCATCTCTTTCAAATAAATCAACCAACTTTACAGAGACACACTGGGGCAGCTCTGACTCCCATGCCTTCCCTCAGCCCCAGACCAGCCATGTGCCAGCATGCTGTCAGGCTGGCACAGGCTTGGGGCCCGTGTCCCCGTGTGCAGCACGTGAGACAGTGTTGTGGCTGCCCGGGGGCAGGGCTTGTGGGGGCCCGTGTCCCCGTGTGCAGCACGTGGGACAGCGTCATGGTTGCAGGCTTGGGCATGAGCTGCTGCAAAGTCACAGCAACATGAGAATGGTATGAGTGCAGTGCCAGCCTTGCCAATACCAACTGTCCCTACATCGAGGCATTTATTTCAGAGCCCTCAGGTGTGACGGCTTTGGGCACTGCACCTGCCAGCCAAGCAGAGTGGCCGTCCACACCCCATGCCTGCCCCTTCCCACCCGAGTTGCTGCCCATCAGATGCCAGGCTAACCCAGCTCTGCCTCCATTGTCTGGGTCCTGTCTCCTCCAAGTCTGCGCCTGCCTGTGCCTGCCCCTGCCCACTGTCACCTGCCCGTGCCCACTGTCGCCTGCCCGTGCCCGCTGTCGCCTGCCTGTGCAGCCCTGTGTGTCAGGCAATGAAACCCCCTCTGCCTGGCTCTCCAGAGCTCTGATCACCAGCTTCCTCCACCACACGGGGACACAGACCACCCCACACTGCCCACCGGAATGGCCACGCCCCTTCTGGACCCCTCTGACCTTCAGAAGTCCTTGGGATGAGGAGGTCCTCCCAGCCTGACCTCTGCCCCAAGAGCTCCCCTGCCCCCACAAGATGGTCCTAGGCAGCATGTCGCACCCTCCAGGGGGCCGGTTCTCTCCATCCACACAAGGTGGATCCTGCCCTAGGGGTCCAGGAAGGGAGGGCCCGTGCTGGGGCACCTGCGACACTGTGGCTGCCTCCTGAGCAGCAGCCTGGGACTGAGTCCCTCCCACAAGGCCACAGCGCCTGGTGCCCACTGCACACTTGACCCCTGGGGCAGGGGTGCCACTGCCAAGCCCCTAGTCCCAGGCAGCCCCGCCCAGGCCATGTACGGAGCACCCTGGAGCTCCGTGGGTACGCCCACGTTCCAGAGCGCTGCCCGCGTCCAGGTGGGAGCCTACCTCCGCGGTCACCCTGGAACACAAGCCAGCAGCCCTGCCCCACAGCCCCTGGCCAGCTCCCCACTGTGTGGGCCGCTCCGCCACCCACCCAGGAGCCCCCTTGGATCCCGAAGGCCCGGCCTGGCACCCAGCCCCGGGCTGCCAGCACATTCCTTGAAAGCTGAGGAATGCTTTGTCAGGCGTGCGTCTGTAAATGGAAAATGCCCTTTTTAAGGAGTGGAAAATCTGTACTCTCACAGCCCCAGGCAGAGAACAAATCCCAGGGTATTTACGCTGCGGACGGCGGCGTGTGTGCGCGCTCAGCTCAGAGTGAAATTCCACCTGCTCTTTGCTAATCCTCTTTGCAGGGCACCATGAGGGCCATGCCAGGCGGGGTCAGGCGGGGCCACACCAAGTCAGAACTCAGCACAGGCAGAGGAGTATGCGAGAGACAGAGAGGGGAGGGAGAGCTGACTGCGTGCAGCATCGTGGGCCAGGTACCAGCAGCGTGCAGTGTGAGGGCTGTATGTGCTGTGCTCTACATGTGGCAAGGAGTGTGTGTCACACGGCAGACACCAGCTGTATGTGACACAGGGTTGTGACACGGGTCTGTGTGTGACGTGGGGCTGGGTACAACATGGTGTGTGTGTGTGAATGTGACATCAGCCACATGAGATGTGGTGTGTCTGACACGCCATACAGGACACGGAGTGTGGTGTGCATGTGTGTGTGTGTGTTGCATGTTTGTGACCCAGAAGCACAGAAGTCCCCAGCTCCAGCTCCAGGGCTCAGGCCCTGCTCCCAGCAACACGTGCACCGCCACCCCAGGCCTCCTGCCCCAGCTTCTAGCAACTTCCTTCCTTTCTCAGTGCTACCCCCAGACCTCGAGTCACGGGGACTTCCTCCAGGTGTCTGGTGGGTCCCCAAGGCTGTGCCTCCCTCGGGGCAGACACCCACCCTGCGCTGTTGGCTCTTGAGCCACATAGCAGGAACCACGGCACGCCCCATCTAGGAGCCGGGCCACATCCTTGGGAATTCCCCCCAGAAAACAAAGTTCTGCCCACAAATTGATACCCTTCTTCTCAAAATCAATGACACAGACATTTTTAACCCCCAAAACCACGGAGTCGTAATGTTAACGTGTGAAGCAACTGGGGCATCAGGCCATCTCCTAGCCCGGGATGCCCGTGAAGACACTGGGCAAGGATCCTGGCTGAGCTCTGGAACCAGGGCGCCCTCTGCTGGGGCGAACGAGCAAGTGCCTGTGCAGCCCGGCGGGTGTCCCGACGCCCAGTGGACGCATGGATGCGTGGGCGCAGCTTTGCTTTCAACAAGGTCTTTTAACTCAGCTCCCTGAGTCAACTCCAGCTTCCTGCCTGTTCTGACGGCCCAGGCAGAGGCCTGGGCTATGCCAGCCCAAGCACCCTGCTCCTTATTCAGTGTTTGCACTGGTTGGGGGGACACTGCCGCAGCCTTCTCTGATGCCCAGGGCAACATGGCCTGACTGGTACATCCAGCCCTGGGGAGGCGCCCGTCCTATTTGCCACCTGACTCTCCTGGCCCTAGCCTGTCTGGCCCTGAGGCTGGACTCCAGGCTCCCACCCGCCCCAGGAGTGCAGGCTCAGGCCATGAACTCTGCACCTGAGACACAGCCCACCCCCAAGTCACGGGCCACCTCCCCCACCCACGCAGCCTCCACCTGGCCCTGCTGCATGTGCTGCGCCTTCCCAGGCCTGACCTGTGCCAGCCATGCCAGCCATGCCAGCGCTCCCATCTGGCTGCCCAGGCCTTCCCTGCCCCTTGCCATGGAGCAGAGGTCAGCAGGCTGCCTGGGCAGGTCACCCAGAGGGCATGCCCTTTTCTGGGAGCAGCAAGCCTGGGGCTGCAGGTGGCAGCTGTGCACCTCACGTCCCTGCCACCGCCGCCCTGGCCACCGCCGCCCCAGCACAAGCTGAGACCCAGCAGGGGGCGGTATTGGCCTGAGTGTGGGGAGCTGCCAACTGCCTGGGAGCCACTGAGCCGGGGGATCCGAGGTGGACACAGCTCTGGGGGGGCCCGGCAGGCCCTGGAGGGTGGCCACACAGCTTGGGAAGTGGAAAGACCATCCGGGCTGAGCGGTCCCCAGCACGGAGTCCCGGGCACTCCACCTGCACTCACCCATTGTCCAGGCCATTCTGCCCCAGCTTGCTTCCGATGTCTCCGACCATCACCCCTGGCATGGGCAGCAGGGTCTTCGGGTCTCGGATCTGTGCACAGTGAGCCCAGCCGCTGTTAGGGCCACTGGGAGACTGAGATGGACACATCAGGGGACCCCGGAGGCCAAATCAGGGCTATCTCAGGACAGCTTTGGGGCACAGGTGGCACAGGGAGAGGGGGCCATGCTAAGGTCCCAGGGCTGCCCTGGAGTTCCCAGGAGGCCCTAGCCCAGAGACGGGGGTCTATATGAGAGATAAGACGGGGCTGCATGAGCGGAGGTGTGTGTGGCACAGGCCACGGCAGCCACAGGAGCCACCGGGGCAGGCGGCCCGCAGGGCACTGGGCATTTCCCACCGCCATTCTGGACTCCTACGAGGTTTCAAAAAGTTGAGCACACGGCTGCGCACGCAGGCGACGGGTGCCGTCGGGGAAGCCGCCGCTCTGAGCGCAGGGCAAGGCAAGCCGCAGTGCACAGGCACGTGGCCAAGGGCCGCCCTACCTGCACCAGGAAGGGGTGCAGCCCGTGGCACTGGCCGCCGGCGTACAGCTGTGCCAACACCACCGCATGCGTCGCCGACTTGCCCATGTTGCCGACCCAAAACTTGGCGGCTTCAAAATCGGGCGAGTGGATGATGAATTCCTGCGGGGCGGGGAGAGGGGCATGTCAGCCACGCAGTGGGCAGCGTCCTCCTTCCCCACTGGGTCTGTATGCGGGCAAAGCTTGCAGGGGTGAGGTCAAAGCTGACTGTGGGGCCGGCACTATGGTGCAGCACACTAAGCTTCTCCCCGTGCTGCCAGGCTCCCGTATGGGCATCTGTGTGAGTCCCAGCTGCTCCGCTTCCTGTCCAGCTCCCTGCCTGTGGCCTGCCTGTGGGAAAACAGTTGAGGACAGCCCAAAGCCTCGGGACCCTGCACCCGCGTGGGAGACCCAGAAGAAGCTCTTGGCTTCTGACTCCGGAACAGGTCAGCTCTGGGCAGTGGAGCCATTTGGGGAGTGAACCAGCGGATGGAAGATCTTTCTCTTTGTCTCTTCTTCTCTCTGTAAATCTGCCTATCATATAAATAAGTTTTTTTAAAGGCATGATCAGAGTTGCTAGGGGCCCCAACCCTGGGGGGCCATACAGCGAGCAAAGGTATAAATGTGACCTGAATTCACACAGAGACCCCCAAGCCCTGGCGTGGGGGTGGGAGCCCACGGCAGGGCCACGCAGCTCTGGGCCTGCCTCTCCAACGCGCCTGCAGAGGTGCGGGCCCTGGTCTGGCTCACTGGGCGGGGAGAGCACACACCTGTGAAGCAGGGTCGTAGTGAGCAGTTGTCCGCAAGGCCTTGCTGTTGCTCCCATGACTGAGCTCCGTCATCGCAAAACACCCGAAAATCTGCACAAGCAGTGTGAGGTGGGAGAGAGGCCCTCCATGGGGCTGGGGAAAGGGGGGAGGGGAAAGGGGAGGGGACGGGGAGGGGGAGGGAAGAGAGAGTTGGGGGAGGAAAGGGAGGAGGGGACAGGGAGGGAGGGGAGGGGATAGGGAGGAGGAGAGAGGGGATAGGAAGGAGGAGGGGGAGGGAGGGGCAGAGAAAGGGGGAGGGGAGGGGATGGAGTAGGGGGAGGGAGGAGAAAGGGGAAAAGGAGGGAAAGGGAGGGAGGGAGCCGGGGAGGGGAGGGGGAGGGGATGGGGAGGAGGAAGGAGGAGGGAGGGGATAAGGAGGAGGAGGAGGGGGAGGGGGATGGAGAAGGGGGAGGGAGGCCCTCTGCTGTCTGGGGAAAGGGGGGAGGGAAAGAGGGGAAGGGAAGGGGGAGGAGAGGGAGGAGGGGATAGGGAGGAGGAGGGAGGGGAGGGGAGGGAGGAGGGGGAGGGAGGAGGGGGAGGGAGGAGGGGGAGGGGATGAAGAAGGGGGAGGGAGGAGGGGGAGGGGGGGAAGGAGAAGAGGGAGGGAGGAGGGGGAGGGAGGCCCTCCACGCAGCCAGTATGCGCTGCCCAGTTCTTTCTCCTCACAGCAGCGTCACGTGCCATGGTGGATGGCCGCCATGTGAGGGTAGCGTGGTCTCGCCTGTCCCCACAGGGGGTGGGGGCAGCAGGAAGCACTGACTAGCACAGACACAGGGTGATCACATGGCAGCCGGCCCGCCGGGGACCCCAGGGGAAGGACAGCCCGAACCCATCCCCCCCCCAGCAGCTAGCCGGACCCCAAGGAGACGCAGGGCCACGCTCACCTCCAGGCTTCTGATCTTCTGCAGGAACTCGAGATGCCGCTCAGAGCCCGAGCTGTAGATGGCTGAGCCGAAAACCTGGGGAGACCCCGTCACGGAGTCAGTGAAGGTGCGGGGTCACAGGAGGGGTGCAGGTGAGGGGGACCCCAGGGTCATGGAGTGACTGAAGGTAAGGGGTCACGGGGTCATGGGGTCACAGGTGAGGGGCTGGACCCCCCATGCACTCCCGACACCCTGTCCGGGGGTTCTTCCACCCCAGCTCAGAGGAGTGGCCAACCGAGGGGACGAGGGGACCGGGGGAACAGTTGTGGAGGGCCTCATTCCAGACCACGGGAAAGCCACCTTGAACTTCAGATAGGAACCCCAGAGAGAGGGGGAGGATGAGAGAGCCCAGTACCCCTCCCAGCCACCCACGCATGGCTGACGTGGCGCCACCCCCCAGAACTGAGACGGGAGGAGCCCCACTCAGCCCAGGGCCCCACCGTGCCCTCACCAGCCACCCATGCATGGGTGATGGGCATGCCACCCTCCAGAACTGAGACGGGAGGAGCCCCACTCAGCCCGGGGCCCCACCGTGCCCTCACCAGCCACCCATGTATGGCTGATAGGCATGCCACCCTCCAGAACTGAGACGGGAGGAGCCCCACTCAGCCCGGGGCCCCACCGTGCCCTCACCAGCACGTGCAGCAGGAACTTGGAGGCCAGGGACCAGTCGTACATGCCCAGCGAGTGCACCAGCACCAGCACCTTCAGGGGACTCTTGAGCGCGTCCTGCACGCCCAGGAAGTCGTACTCCAAGACCCGCTTGCAGCGCAGGAAGGTCAGCTCCCGGTACTTCTCCAGGCCCGGGCCGGCCCCGGGGGAGCGCGCGAAGAGCGGGTCCTTCTCCAGGGTCGAGAAGATGGTTTTCTGAAAGCATGAGGGGCCGAGATGCTGATGCTGGCGGGGAGGGCCGGGACAGAACCACCCGGGGCAGAGCCGGGGCTGCGGAGGAGGTGGCCAGCGACAGCAGAATGTCCTAGCCACCCGCAGGCCGTGTGCCTGACATCGTCCTCGCCACCAGCCACCGCCCGGTAGCCTGGAGCCCCGGCTCTGCAAACCACCAGCCTGTCCTCGTTACAACCCTGGCTGTCACGGGCGTTTGGTTACTGTCCCAGGGCAGGGGGCTGTTAGGACCCAGCCACATCACGCACGGCCTGTGGGCCCTGCCCCCGTCTGAGAGCTGGCGGGAACCCTTGCAGGCCACAGGCCTGTTCGCTGGAGGGGGGGCTGGCGAGGACGAGCCCTTGGCTGAGGTGTGCACATTTCACAGTGAGAACCAGGAGGTGAACGGGATGGAACGGAAGGGCTCTGCACAGGCGAGGACAGAGCCTGCTGGGACATAAGGGGTGGTGTGAGGAGGGGACAGGGGAGCAGGAGCTGCCAGCTGACGGATGGGCCGCGGCAGGGACGTGAGGCCTGGCCTCAAGCCTCGAGGCTCGCAGGGGCTGCCAGGCAGGCAGCAAGCCCCGTGTTGACCCCGGTGAATGTCCCGGGTCCGGGGCATTTTGGAGGAAGGGCTGGGAGACAGACAGACCATGCCCCGTCAGCGTGTGAGGCCTGAGCCCCTTCCACTTGTGCCAGCAGGTGGCTGTGGTCAGGGGCCTGGTGGCCAACAGCCACTGCACCTGCTGAGCTGGGGGAGCCTCTTCCATTCACAAGGAATCCCAGGGACCCCCAGAGGGTGGGCCTGGAGGACAGAGGGGCTGAGCCACTAGGGCCACCCCAGGCTCACCTTGAAGAGCAGAACGTCCTCGCCGTCCAAGAACCGCGCCAGCTGCCGCCAGTCGAAGGACGCCCGGGCCCGGTACGCTTGGAGGGGCCCCGGGGGCAGATCAGGCAGCAGGGCCTCCACACGGGCTTCCGCCGTGGACGCCATCAACAACCTGCAGGGAACACACAGCAGCCCCGGGAGGGAATTCCATTGCCTCCCACCGTCCCCCAGGGACAGGGCGGGGTGGGGGGACGGCAAGGAGAGGCAGGGCTGGGAGACTGTGAGGTGGGCACACCGGCCTCTCCTGGACCCAGGCATGAGTGGCAGGCACAGCGGTTGCCATACGAGCTCAGTGGGCAGACACATGGCCAGACAATGCTGGAGACCTGCCCTCCGCAGCCATGGCCTTGCTCCAGGGCACCTTAAACTTGGTGAGTGAGGGGGGTCTCAAGGTGCTTCCGTACCACTCCCCAAAAGCTCGCTGAGACACAAGTACATGGTCCCTGCGACAAGAAGGGACGACCGGAGCTCAGAGAGGCTGTCCCTTCCAGCAAGGTCTGCCCCGTGGTCAGGCTCTTCCGATATCCCCATAAAACAATGGGAAGGGGCCAGTGCTGTGGCATCATGAGTTAAGACACCACCTCTGATGCCGGCATTTCCTATGAGCACCAGGTTCAAGTCCCGGCTGCTCCACTTCTCATCCAGTTCCCTGTTAATGTCTTGGGACCCCAGAACCCATGTGAGAAACCCGGAGGAGCTCCTGGCTCCTGGCTCCAGGCTCCTGGCTCCTGGCTCCTGGCTCCAGGCTGGCCCAGCCCTGGTCATTGCAGACATTTGGGGAGTGGACCAGCAGGTGGAAGATCTCTGTCTCTCTCTCCCTACAGCCCTGCCTTTTCAATGAAACAATGTTTGGGTTGTTTTTGTTTAAGGCATTGGGAAATAAGAGTGCAAACTCAGCCTGGGCAGAAGGCGGGCATGATGGACCTGCGGGGCGGGCCCAACAGGGAAGGCGGCACAGAGCGGAGCCGGCGCTGTGGCGGGGAGGGTCCCACATGGGCGCTACTTGGAGTCCTGGCTGCTCCATGTCCCATGCAGCTCCCTGCTTGTGGTCTGAGAAAGCAATGGAGGACGGCTCAAAGCCTTGGGTCCCTGTGCCCACGTGGGAGACCCAGAAGAAGCTCCTGGCTTCAGGTTGGCGCAGCTCCAGCTGCTATGGACTGCTATGGAGCCCTCGTATTGAGACAGTGGGCAGGGAGCTGCCGGGAGCCAGGCAGCATGAGTGCCTCCCAGCGGGGGGTCCCAGGTGCTTACAGGGGCCTGGGCTGCACTGTGAGGTTGTGTGGTGGGGTAGGTCACACAGCCCGAGAACACACCAAGGCTGACCTTCATGCACATCACAGATGGCCGAACTGGGTGACAGGTGAGTGGCTGCTCAGTCGAGCGACCTTTAGGAGAGACTGGGTGCTCAGGCTGGGAGTGCCAGCTCCACGAGGCTCGGTTAGAGCCTGGCTTCCACCCGGGGCTGGGAGGTGGATGCCAGGGCCCAGGCAATGGGGTTCCCGACACTTCCCGGAAAACCAGGATGTACCCCACCTCCAGCCGGCCTCAGCAGGTGCTGCGGGAGCGAGGTGGGCTCTCTCACGGGCACTGCCTCTCCCCCTGTCTCTTTACTTCTAAAGTAACTGCAAAGACCACCAGCTGAGCCACCCGATGGACTGAGCCGGGCCCTGTGCTTGCCAGCACACACAGGAATCTGGGCTGGGATCACCTCAGACAATCCAACTGCCGGACTCAGAACCCACAGTCTGCCATGGAGTGCAAGTGCCAGAGCCAAGCCCCTCAGAGGCTCAGACGGCGCAGTGGACAGCATAACCAGGTGCACATGGAGGATATGGCGGTCCATCGGAACCTGCAGAGGACACCTGGCACCACAACAGAGGACAGAACTAACCAATCAACTACCCCAGCCAGATGTTGGCAGTGAAAAACCGGCAAACGGAGACTCTAAGGTGGACTATGTCAATCAGTGGATTCTGCAGCGACCTCATCGTGCTTGGAGTGGCGAGATTGGCAGCAATTCAGAACCGTTGAACTATCAAAACCACTTGAGCAAGAATCTCGGAGCATGCCCCACATCAGGGACCTGGGGTGGGTGGGAGACTGGGTGGGGCTTCTCCCTTTATCTTCCCCTTTACCCCAAATACAGGAAAAAACCAATGTGGAAATAATAGTCTTACCCACTTTCCTGTGGCCCTTGAACCTTTTTGCCCTAATTAACTATGTGAAGATTGTCAAAAATAAAGGAAAAAATGGGGGGAAAACCCCACAAAATAACTGCAAAGGCCACTTGTCACCCGCTGCCTTGGCCGCCCCGTTCCCTCCCTCCCTACTGGCCGTGCAGCCTGCAGCTCGCGCTCTCCCAAGCCCCAGCCGGACCCCGAACCTGCCCCTCCCCGGCCAGCCTGTCCGGCACACCCCAGTGCCACCGGGCCTCCCGTGTCCTCCCCAGCCTCCACCGCACCGGACACGGGACCCTTCCGGCTCTCTGCACTGCTTCACGGCATGTCAGGGCTCCGGCCCAGCGCGCACCTGCCACAGAAACGAGCCGTGGGCCGCGCAAGGTCGCACGTCGGCCACCCTTGATCCCGGCCAGGCCGGAGGGGTCCACGCCAGGAAGGGGCCCAGGGCAGAGTCCGTGCTGCCCGCCTCCGCTCTCGCCCACCCGGGCCCAGCAGCTCCCGGCGCGCCCCGCCCCGCGCCCCTGCAGCGGGCTCGGCCCGGACCTTCGGATTCGCGCCCGGGCGCACAGCAGGTGCTCGGCCGAGTTCGCAGACGGGCTGCGGCCTCCCGGCTTCCGTCCGCGGCGTCAGGCCCGTGACGCGCGCCTCTGACGTCATGCGCCGGCCCCTCGTCGCCTGGCAACGGCCGGTGGCGTCGCGGCTGCAGCCCCGGCGGCTCGGGTCTCCGCGCGCTGGGGACCTGGCCTGCGCTTTGCTCTGGAAGTTCCTGCCAGCGCTGCGGCTGCCACAGGACCCTGGCTGGAGGGCCCCGGCCCCTGCGAGGGCCGAGTGGGGCCATGGAGGGCGAGGCCAGCGGAGGTGACCCTGTTCGTGTGTGTGTGTGTGTGTGTGTGTGTGTGTGTGCGCGCGTGTGTGGTGGGGGATTTATGTATTTGAAAGAGAGGCACAGGCAGATCTTTCATGGTTCTAGTTCACTCCCCAAATGTCTGCACAGCCCGGGCTGGCCGGGCCCACTCCAGGAGCCGGGGCTTCCATCCGGGTCTCTCTTGTGGGCAGCGGTGACCCACAGTCCTGCGGCTCCCAGGGAGCCTGGTGGGAGGCTGGACAGAAGCAGAGGACGCCAGACTTGAACCCGGGCACATGCTGGCCACCGGCCCGGGAGCGTGGGGATTGAGCTGATATTCGGATCCAGGAGCAGCTCCAAAAAGCTGGCCAAGGGCCAAACAGGAGCCGGTGCTGGTGTGGGGCGGGCAGGCTGTATGTGGGGCTGGCGGGCTGTATGTGGAAGGAACCAGCGTGTGTCGAACAGGCCAGTGGAGTCTGGGCCACCTGGCAGGCAACGAGCCCTGCTCCTCATCACAGCATGGCGAGGGGCGAGGGGCGGGCTTTCAGCAGGGAGCTGCTGCCATCTCAGACCAGGTAGCGTCCTGTAGCCATCCGGAGCCTTCCGCCACTTCCTGCCAAACGACAGACCCACAACACTGTAAAATGCTTAGTTAAGCTTTATTTATTGTCACTTGACAGGCACATTTAGAGTTCTGTCACTGGTCACTGCACCAATGGGCACGATGGCCAGAGCTTTCGCCAGGTCTCTGATGTGGATGCAGGGTCCCAAGGCTGCTGCTTTTCCAGGCCATTAGCAGAGAGCTGTTTCAGAAATGGAGTAGCTGGGACTTGAACTAGAATCCATAAGGGATATTGGCACCGCAGGCAGAGGGTTAGGCCGCTAAGCCATGACGCTGCTCCCTGGCACGTTCACTGGTCCAAAACCGGCACAGCGGGGTGCGTGCCCAGCAAGCGGAGCCGCAGGGCTTGGGTCTGTGGGCAGAAGGGAGGCTAGCCGAGGCCACTGCCACCTCCATGGCGATGAGCAGGCAGGAGAGACGTGGCGGAGAGCAGGTAACTCCAGGTCCGCTTGCTGCTTCCCAGGTCGGTGGGAGCCGGCCTGTTTGGGGACGAGCTCTGCTGTAGGGGAGAGGTGGCACCGGCGTGTGCGCCTCCCATGTGATGTTTACTTTGTCCGGCTGGGTCCGGGGCGGGAGCCTAGTCCAACACCCCCACCCCACCCACTTTGAGGCTTGGAGGTTTATGATCCTCCCAAGCTCCAAAGTCCTGCAGGTGTAGGCCACAGTGCAAGGTCATTCAGTTTACACCCGGAATCGGGCAGTCGGTGGCCTGAGCTGGCTGGATCTGAACCCGAGTTTGCTCAGCAGTTTTTCATGTCATAGAGTGCCGAGCGCCCTGGAGTCTGGAAACTAGGGGCTTCAGGGTGGTGCTGCGCCATAGCTGCTCGAGCTGCCACATGCAGCACAGGCATCCCCCGTGGGCACCCACTGGAGTCCCGGCTGCTCCACTTCCTGTCCAGCTCCCTGCCGATGTGGCTGGGAAAGCAGCAGAGGCTGGCCCGAGGGCTCAGGCCCTGCGCCCACATGGGAGACCCAGGAGGCGCCCCTGGCATCACATCGGCCTAACTCGAGCTGATGCAGCCCTTTGGGGAGTGAACCGGGGGATGGAAGAGCTCTCTCTCTGTCACTCTGCCTTTTCACTAAATAAATAGGATCTTTAAAAAAATCAGTCATAGGGCCCGGCGCGGTGGCGCAAGTGGTTAAAGGTCCTCGCCTGGCACGCCCGGGATCCCATATGGGCGCCGGTTCTAATCCCGGCAGCTCGCTTCCCTTCCAGCTCCCTGCCTGTGGCCTGGGAAAGCAGTCGAGGATGGCCCAAAGCTTTGGGAACCTGCACCCGCGTGGGAGACCCGGAAGAGGCTCCTGGCTTCGGATCGGCATAGCATCGACCGTTGCGGCTCACTTGGGGAGTGAATCATCAGACGGAAGATCTTCCTCTCTGTCTCTCCTCTGTGTATATCCGCCTTTCCAACAAAAAATAATAAAAATAAATCTTTAAAAAAAAAAATCAGTCATAATAATACCCCCCATAAAGGCAAAATCACATGGTGACAGCCAACAGGTGCACGGAGCGGGGCGGCTGCATGGCCCCCCTCGGGGTCAGCTGTGTGCACAGAGGGACAAGCAGGGGCCGCTAGCAGCCTTCAGGCCTGCAGCTCACCTCTCCCCACGCCACTGACCGTGGCTGTGGCCGGTCCACAGCCTGGAACCCACCACGCTCAGGCCATCGCCGTCGCAGCCCACACACAGTAGCCAGCCGACTCGTACTGGTATCCAGAGGCGCCTCCAGGCTGTGCCCATGCCACCAGGTCTTCAGGCCATGGAGCTCTGGGGCAGCCGCACCAACACTGGAACAAGGAGACCACGTGTCTGCTGCAGATGGGAGCTCACAGGGAGTGACACCTCCCAGCTGCCAGGAGATGCCAGGCTAGGCCACGCCCCTGGACGTGACACACAGCGCAGGCTGGCAGGCTGGCGGTGACGTTCGCCACCGTGAAAGACGTGTTTTTTCTGTTGTGATCAAGCTAGCGCTCTTTGGCGTGAGGCTTGGGGTTTGCAAAGTTAGGAGTCCCTGGGAAGGGTTTTGGTTTTTATTTCTATTTTAAAATAAAAATTACTTCTGTGTAATACAGTTGTCACTGAGTCAAGGTAAGAGGGGCCTTGGAGGATCCCTGGTCCCTCTGCAGAGCCCGCCGCTGTCCTCAGGCCCAGCCAGCTCCTGGCCCACAGCTCTGTGCAGCTGTGCGGTGCTTGGGTCTGTCTGGGCTCATGGACAGCTCGGAGCACGGCTGAGCTCTGGCCCAGAAACCCCCAACTGCGTTCAGAATGCGGGTCTGTGCAGGTGAATCCACGTTTAAATGGGGTCCTCTGGGTTAGGGCGGCTCTCCTTGGAGGAGATGCCAGAACACGACTGGGCAGCCATGGAAAAGATGGGTCTCGTTCACAGGGCTCGAGTTGGCATGAGGGGCACTCCTGCTGTCCCAAAGACAAACCCAGCCAGGACGCCGGGAGCCAGGGCTGTGCGGACACTGCTCTGCGGGAAGAAAGGCCAGCAGGACCAGGCAAGATTTGCACCGCCCGCTTCTGTTTATTTCCTGATTTACGGATACATTACGACACTGGTCAACATCTATTGCTATTCTAGAGCCCTTCCATCTGCTTGGCTTACTCCCCGCAAAAACAAGCAGCCAGGACCGGGGCGCAGCCGGGAACCCCGCCCAAGCGTGCCACGAGGCCTGCAGGGACGCCGACACCGGGGCCACCCCGCCCGGCCCGGCCCCGACTCCCGCGCGCCCCGGCCCGGCCTCGACTCCCGCCCGCGCGCCCCGGCCCCGACTCCCGCGCGCCCCGGCCCCGACTCCCGCGCGCCCCGGCCCCGACTCCCGCGCGCCCCGGCCCCGACTCCCGCGCGCCCCGGCCCCGACTCCCGCGCGCCCCGGCCCGGCTCTCCGCCCCCCGTGACGCCATCGCGGCGCGCCGCAGCACACGCCCGGGTGGCCATGGAGCCCGCGGAAGTGGGCCGGGTGGAGGTGGCCGACCCGGGCGCCCGGCTCCCGGGGGGCTTCTGGGAGGCCGCGGCCGTGTGGCTGGAGAGGCCGCAGGTGGTCAACAAGCGGCTGTGCGGCGCGCGTCTGGAGGCTCGGCGCCGCGCCCTGCTGCCGGGCGCCCAGGCCTGCCCAGGCCCGCGGCCAGAGGAGCGGGATGGGGCGAGACGCGAGCCCGAGGAGGGCGCCCAGGCCCGGCCCCTGCGCGCCGAGGACCCCGCGCAGCCCGCTGGCGCCGCCGGCCGGGACGCTGACTTGGCGGCTGCCGCGGATCTGGATGCGCTCTGGGAAGAGTTCTCGGCGAGCCTCGCCAGCCGCCAGCCGGACATGCTGGCCTTCCTCGGGCGGCCCGCGGCGGGGGCGCAGCCGGGGGCGCGGCGCGAGCTGGAGGTGATCCTCCGAACCCTGATCCCCAAAGCAGGTCCCCATGGCGTGCGCGCGGCCCCGGCGAGAGAGATGGCCGTGCGAGGTGAGGGCGTGCTGGGTGCTGAGTTCCCGAGCATTCGAGAAGCCCAGGTGGGGCGGGGGCGCGGTTCCCCGCGTGTGCGGCACGAGGAGGCCGTGGGGTTTGGTTGGGCGCTTAGGGCGCGGAGCGGGGCGATCCATGGCCCCTGGAGCTCAGCACGCTCCCCCTCCGAGGCTGTCGCCTCGCTCCAGTCCCGGGTGACATGGCCCGTTAGCCCTCGTGGGCTCTGCCAGAACCGGCCCTGCTCATCGAGCTATGGGTCCCCGGTGGCCGCTCTCCCCTGGGCACCGCAGGCTTGGCCCACACTAACGGCTCCAAGACCCTCTCGGCGAGGCCTCCGTGTGGGCAGAGCTGATGCGCCCACACGCCACACTGAGCCGGTTCCTGCTCTCCCACAGACGTGGCCTGCGGGGCGCTGACTTTCTTCCCCCTGGAAGAGGACGGTGAGGGGAACCTGCACGTGCAGAGAAGCGGCGTGTACCGACTGGAGCTCAGTCGGAGTGGACAGGCCTGGTAAGAGCGCCCACTCTGACCCACGCCGCGCCTTCCCCGGGTTGGGTGCCCCGCAGCCGCTGGCCAGCTGAAGCTCTGGGAAGCGGGCAGAGGCTGCAGGTGGGCATCACGCCCCCTCCCCAGGCTCTGACCCGGGCTGGGGCGTCCCGCGATGGGGGCCTCACGGGGTGGCATGTGCCCCAGCGACAGTGGAAGCCTCAGCTCTCACCCGTTGTAGGGCCGCTCCCGTAGTGGCCAGAGTGCAAAGTCCCAGTGCAGCGTACCGGTGAGCGCCCTGTCTCTGTGCCTTCCTGGCCACCAGGATTCGGGGGCTCCTTCCCGGCTGAGCTGCTAATGCTGTAGCTGGGTCATGCTTCGACCGTCCCACCACACCACCTGGGGCTTCAAGCCCGTCGCGTTTGGGGACAGCAGGCCGTAGCAGCGTTTGAGGTGGGCGCATGGACTGCACCCAGGCCTGTCCGGGGGTCTGTTGCCATGGTGACATTCTGCACTGAGCTGCTGCGGGGTAGGTGAGCGGGTAATGGAGAAGCTGAGGGAAAACCATCCGCTCACTCATGTTTCTCTTGCTTTTAAGGTTCATATCTGTTTTAATTTTCTGTCCAGAAAGCTGGCACTCGGATGGAGTGGTCTGTCCCAGACCCAGCTGGCTTGGAGGGACGCTGCTGGCCAGGCTGGCCAGGTGGTGTGTGGCGAGCAGGAAGCGTGCCTTTAAGGACACCCTGTCGCTCGTCTGCGTGGCCAAGTACAGCAGGACCCACCAGGCGCTCAGAGAGAAGCACGGAGCCCTGGTGAAGGTGAGGCCCGCCTGCGGCTCGCTCAGTCTCACTGTGGGTTCGTGTTTGTGACCGGTCCTTCACACGGCCATGATGTGACTGTCAAGGTCCCAAGGCTCTGGCCCGTGCTTCACTGCTTTCCCAGGTCACAAGCAGGGAGCTGGATGGGAAGTGGGGCAGTCGGGACCCAGAGCAGTGTCCACATGGGGTGCTGGCAGTGGCCTTACCAGCTCTGCTCCAGGGCCAGCCCCCTCTGTGTCTCCTTGTGTCACCCCGCGTGTGCGAGACCAGTGATGGACCTGTGCCTTTGGTGGTGAACCTGCGTGTTTCATGGCTCGACTAGTCATGTCTGCCACTTGTGCGTGGCAGTTCTCGGGGCCTCGGGTGACTGACACTGGCTCGTGACCGCGTTTTAGGTGTGGCCTGAAGTCACCGACCCTGCCAAGTTCGTTTATGAGGATGTGGCGATTGCAGCATACCTGCTGGTAAGGGCGCGTTGCGGGGTGCAGAGGCAGGCCACAGCCGGTGGGCTTCCGGCTCTGGGGGAGCAGGTTGCAGTGGCAGGATGGGCTGCGGGCGTCAGGCCGCACCTGCGTGTCTGTGTCTCCGGGGAGGCGCTCCTCGGTGCAGGCCCCCCGTGACTCCAGCTCTTTCCCTCACTAGCTTGCTAGCTGGTAATTACCTGCCGACTTACAACATCTTGTCATGTTACCAACTGAGTATTTGCAGAGAAAGCATAACAAGTCCACTGAAGCCACGCGGACGTGGCAGGCTGGGGGCACACGGCCCAGCTGCACCGGGAGGGTGGGGAGCAGCGGCTGATTTGGGCCGGCTCTGCTGCCCCGAGGCCCGGACCCCTGGCTGTGGAATCTGTGATGCAGGGGGAGTCGTGAGTTGCTGTGGAAGCAGGCGCACCGCCAGCTGCCGTGGCTCTCCCTTTGTCCCTCCTAGGTCCTCTGGGAAGAGGAGCGAGCTGCCAGGGGCGTGACGGCCAAGCAGTCCTTCGTGGACCTGGGCTGCGGGAACGGCCTCCTGACTCACATCCTGTGCAGCGAAGGGGTGAGGCCGCCTGTGCACAGAGGCCCCGGGCTGTGGAGGGGCTCTCGCAGCGTGGGGCCTGCTGTCGGCGCTTGCTGGGGCTGTGGGGGCACAGAGTGGGGTGGCGCTGCCCCTGGGGAAGCCCAGGATCTGGCTGGGAGAACCATGGCTGCACATGGGCCGCCACTTGGCCAGCGTGCTGCCAGCACCCAAGGTAGCAGCGCCCGCGGTAACGGCGCCAGCTGAGAGCAAGAGGAGCTTTTGGTCGCAGTCCCTGCAAGAACTTGTGTGGGGGCTGTTGACGTGTGACAGGCGACCCCAGAGCTGACCTGGAGCCCACGGGCATGTCCTGGGAGCCGCCTGCCCAACCTGCAGGAAGCGAGGTTCCCCGGGGCCTACCTGGGACTGGCAGCTGAACAGGGCTCAGAACTCCACTGTGGGGACAGGCCAGCCCTCAGGCCATTGTGTCCCCTCCCCTCCGGTTTCCCAGCTCCTCTGGCCGCCCTGCAGGGGTGGGGGCCTGGGCCAGGCGGCTGGGCTGCGCCAACACATGCTCCGGGCTACTGGTCGTGCTGGAGCCATGGAGCTTGTTTGGTCTCCATGGCGGGCGGCACTAATGGGCTCCCCTCTGCTGCAGCATCCAGGCCGCGGGATAGACGTGCGGAGGAGAAAGATCTGGGACCTGTACGGGCCGCAGACACGCTTGGAGGTAAGGGCTGCCCTTTGGCGTGGGCCCGTGAGGCCCACGTTCCTGAACACTCTACTGTGGAGGGGACAGGGTGGCCGGGGTGCCCCAAGGAGAGACGCTGCTATTCCCCTGGAGGGGACGCCGCGCTCTGCTCGTCACGTGGGCCTTGGGAGCCTCGTGGGACTTCCTCCTGCCCAGCCCTTGGAGGGGCTGTGCGGGGCCGGGGGAGGGTCTCTCCAGGGCCAGGGACCTCGCCCATGGCCTAGAATGCCAGGTGGCTGGACAGGGCCGGAGAGGCTGTGCAGGGTCGAGGGGCACACGGACAGGCTGGCTTTGTGCAGGAATTCTCAGATCCACTCGTGGTTTGGTTTTGTTGTAAGGTGTGCTCATTTTTATTGGAAAAGCAGAGTTACAGAGAAGGGAGAGAGGGCCCCTGGCTCACTCCCCAGAGGGTTGCCGTGGCTGGCGCTGAGTGTTCCGGGGCCTGAAGCTTGTCTGGGCTCACACGTGGGACGTGGGACGAGTTCACAGGCCCTAGGGGGCTCACAGGCGGCATGGCTGCACCGCTGGGTGATTTGAAAGGCAGAGTTAGAGAGAGCTTCCTCCTGCTGATTGGCTCCCCAGAATGGCCGCAGCAGCCTGGGGCTCCGTGTGGGTCTTCTGGACGCGCGAGGGGCCCGGGCGCTCGGACCAGCTTCGCAGCTGTGTTAGCAGGGAGCTGGATCGGGAGCGGGGCAGCCGGGACTGGTGCAGGCGCTCCGGTGCGGCAGCCAAACGCAGCAGCTGCCTATGGCGCAGTGCAGCCCCTGTGTTCCCTACGTGCGCGTCTCCCTCTCCTCCTCTCGCGCCTCAGGCTCTCTCTCCTCCTCTGCCTCTCTCCTCCTCTCGCGCCTCTGGCTCTCTCTCCTCCTCTCACGCCTCTGCCTCTCTCTCCTCCTCCGCCTCTCTCGCCTCCTCTGCCTCTGCCTGTCTCTCCTCCTCTGCCTCTCTCTCCTCCTCTGCCTCTCTCTCCTCCTCCGCCTCTCTCGCCTCCTCTGCCTCTGCCTGTCTCTCCTCCTCTGCCTCTCTCTCCTCCTCTGCCTCTCTCTCCTCCTCCGCCTCTCTCGCCTCCTCTGCCTCTGCCTGTCTCTCCTCCTCCTCTGCCTCTGCCTGTCTCTCCTCCTCTGCCTCTCTCCTTCTCTCGCGCCTCTGGCTCTCTCTCCTCCTATGCCTCTCTCTCCTCCTCCGCCTCTCTCGCCTCCTCTGCCTCTGCCTGTCTCTCCTCCTCTGCCTGTGGCTTTCTCCTCCTCTGCCTCCCTCAGCCCTCGCTCCCTTGAATGGCTTGTCTGCTTTGTCCATTGATGGCCCGCTACTGACGAGAGAGGCTGCTGTGTTGTCCGAGTCCATAATGTGGGAAGCCCGCTGCCCAGCCTGCCTCGCTCTGTGAGCTGTGCACACGGCAGGTCACCCCCGGGACCACGGTGCCCACGTGCGGACGACAGGCCTCTGAGCCCGCCTCGGATCCCCTGAAGGCCTGGTGGCTTTCCCGTGGCCGTGGCTCCCCCTCGTGTCGGCCGAGCGTCCACTTGTCAGAGAGCAGTGTCTCTCCGACCGTGACCCTGGAGGTGCCCGTGCCATTCACGAGGGCGGGTGGCTTGGCCAGCTCGGCGCCGGTGACCTGGGCGGGCTGCATCAGGCGACCAGGGCCACAGCGGCTGTGCATTCAGGCGCATCCTGTGTCACTCTGGTAGGAAGAGGCCATCTCCCCAAGTGACAAGACCCTGTTCCCTGGCGTGGATTGGCTCATTGGTAACCACTCGGACGAACTCACGCCCTGGATCCCCGTCATTGCGGCCAGGTAAGTGGGCGCCGCCCGCCGGCTGCGGCTGCCAGGCTCTTGGGGCAGGGCCGGCTCAAGTCGGTTTTTACAGACGTAAGTGACAGAGAAGACAGTCTTCGTCCACTGGTTTGTTCCCCAGAAGGCCGCCCTGGCCAGGGCCAGGCCCGGCTGAAGTCAGCCACTGGGAGCTTCATCTGGTCTCCCACGTGGCTGCGGGGGCCTGGCGTGTGGGCCATCTTAAGCTGCTTTTCCGGGTGCGTTAGAGAGCTGGATCACAGTTAGACACCCAGGACTTGAACCAGTGCCCATATGTGGTGCTGGCATGACAGGTGGTGGCTTTGCACACTGTGCCACCACACTGGCCCCTTAGTAGCTCGAGGTCGGTGAACTGCCAGCTTGGGGTTGACATAAATTCCACCTGTTCTGCTTCTACTGAACCTTGTAAACTCTGACTCCTGGTGAGTGATGTCACGGTGCGGTGACACCAGTCTCGGCGTCCGTGGCCTCTGCGGCGTGCATGCACCCTGTGTGGAGGTGCTGCCGTGGGAGAACAGGGCTCCCCTCTGCAAGCCATCCCGGTCAAGCTGCTGGCAGCCAAGCCAAGCCCTTGAGGCAGGGTGTGCCTGGGCACGTGCCCAGGGCTCTGTTCCAGCTTGGCCCGGGGGCAAAGGCTCACGGACTGAATTCTCTGAGAGTCTCTGGTGACAGACCCGAAACAGGTGTCCTGCTTGGACCCAGCTGGGGGCTGGCAGGCTGCATCTGTGAAGGAGCCAGTGCTGCCAGCTGGGCACGGTGCCCACCCCAGTCCACTGTCCCTGCCACTGCAAGTTCCTGGCCAGCTGGGCATGGTACCCGCGAGGCTGTCCCAGTGGCCCACCCCTGCCCGCTGTGTCCCTCCCACCGCAGGTCCCTGGCCAGCTGGGCACGGTGCCCGCGAGGCTGTCCCAGTGGCCCACCCCTGCCCGCTGTGTCCCTCCCACCGCAGGTCCTCCTATGACTGCCGCTTCTTCGTGCTGCCCTGCTGCTTCTTTGACTTTGCCGGCAAGTACCGCCGCCAGCACAGCCAGAAGACACAGTACCGCGAGTACTTGGATTTCGTGCAGGAAGTGGGGCGGACCTGTGGCTTCCACGTGAAGGAAGACTGCCTGCGGATCCCTTCAACCAAGCGGGTACGCGGGCGTGGGCTGCTGCACAGTGGGTCCCAGGGCACCGTGGCGGCCCCTGAGCCTGTGTTCCTCAGGGCTGGCCAGTGGGGGCGCGTTGGACACCCAGTGCTGTGCAGGCGTGGGTGTCAGTCAGGCCAGGGCAGCGGTGGTGGGGTCCCTTGTAGTGGCTCTGGATGGGCGGTTTTCCGCCTGAAGCTCACAGCATCGTTGATTAGAGTCGGGTGTTTGATGCTGTGTGTCTGAAAGCTTCCTGTCTCCTGCGCGGGGTTCGGTGCACCGCGACTGTCGCGCATGGCGCCTGTGCTTCCCACCTCGCAGGTCTGTCTCCTGGGGCAGTCCAGGACGTACCCGCCCACCGCCGAGGCCGCTGTGGACGAGCGCAGGGCCCAGTTCATCCGCAGCAGGCAGGGCTGCCCTCCGAGCCCGCCTGCCCTGGAGCCGCCGCCTCCTCCATCTCCTGTCCCCGAGGCCTCAGACCCCTGGCTGCCTGGATTTAGGCCCCGGGAGAAAGCTGAGCCCACCAGGAACTGCACCTCCCTGCCCCGTGACTTCGTGGACCGGGTGGTACTACAGGTGGCCAGTCTGCTGTTGCGGGGAAGGCCGCTCAAGCCAGGACGTGCCTCGAGTGGGGATGTGCAGGCCTGGGACGCAGGAGGTACGTGCTGTTCCTGTGTTGCCGTGGCCCTCGGCACAGACCATGCTGGAACTGTTGGGCATTCAGGCAGTCCTGGGGGAAGTCGAGGCTGAGAGCGGGTGATCCGGCTCAGAGGCTGGGAATGACCCCCCGGGTGGCAAGGGTCTCGCGCCCTGGAGATTCTGAGTTCGGTTCCCAGAGCGCACACACTGGCAGGTCTGCATTCCTGCAGCCCAGTCCAAACAGGGATGCCAGACAGCCGCCAGAGGGCACCCGGGGACCGTGTGGGTGGCAGCCCGCCCAGGCTTGCTTGTGGGAGAGTGGGATCCCGTCTGGGCGGGGCCCTGTGCCTGCCCAGATGTGGCAGCTCCACTCGGCCCGTCCTCTGCTGTGACAGCTGATGCAGTCCTGCTTGCAACGACTCCTCAGGGCTTAGCTTGGGGCAGGAGTACAGCCACAGCCAAGGGAGCCAGAACCCTAGGGCCCCGGGCCGTGTTGAGCCCTGACTTGTGGCTCTGCACCCACCACTGGTGCACCTGGGAGGAGCCGGGGCCGGTGGGAGCCGGTCTCGGCCGGTGGGAGCCGGTCTCAGCCGCCGGTTCATCTGCTGTTCCGGGATGAGCCCATCCCATTGGTGATAGGTCAGGATGTTCTGAAATGCTCCTGGATCCTCAAAGTGGGAATTATAATGCTGGAGGCTCCATGACCCCATTAGGGACCCAGGGCAGTGGCTCGGGCAGCGGTGCCACTGTGGGCCCTGGTACCCGGAGCTGAGGTCTGGCCCAGCAGCTGGCAGCGGGGCACCGGGCCAGCAGGGAGCTCACACAGTCCCTGCTTGGGGGAACCCCCGTGTCTGCAGAGAGCCGCTCCTTGGCTGAGGTGGCCTGTGTGCTGGACGGCGAGACGCTGCGGCGGCTCAAGCGGGAGTGTGGGGGGCTGCAGACGCTGCTGCGAAACAGCCACCAGGTGTTCCAGGGTAAGTCTGGAATGGGGTGCGGAGCCCCTCGGGGGGGCCAGAGCCACGACTTTCCAAGCAGCTGCCCAGGCCCACTCCCTCCTGCCCTGGTGTGCCTGGGTCTGCCTTTGGCTGTAGACGCCTCCCTTTGGAGGTCTTGGCACAGGCCTCCCTCTGAGGGCTTTCTGGAACTTTCAGCCTGGTCTAACGTCAGGAGGACAGCCTGGAAGGGGGAGGATGTGATCAGGAGGCCTGGTGCAGAGTATGTGTGCCCCGCCCGGTGCTCCCAGGACCGCGGTTGACGGCCAAGGGCATGGCCTGGGTGGCCCACTGGGGAGCTGGCTGGGGCACAGCCACACTCTGGGATAGAGCCACCGCAAGACGCGGGGCATGGAGCCAGCTCTGCACTGGCAGTGCGGGGCCACCTCTGCCGCTCCAGAAAGGCCTGCCCTGGCCCTGCAGACCGCTCCCAAAGCTGCCTCTGCCCACCCGCGCAGCCCGAGGGAGCCTGCGAGGGCCTGGCTGTGAGGCTGCAGCCCCATCCGATTGGGGCGCACACCGGGCAGCCCGTGTCACTGAGCTGCGGCCCCACAGCCCGTGTGGGAGCGCTGGCTTGAGGGCCAGTTGCTCCATGTCCGGTCCAGCTCCCTGCTGAGCTGCCGGGAGGGCCCCAGGACCTGCCAGGCCTCCCTGGAGTGCCCGTCCCGGTGACAGTGGCATTTCCCACCCACAGTTCTCCATGGGAGGGTGCGCATTCGTGACTGGCGGGAAGAGGGGCCACCCCAGGCCTTGCGGCCAGGCGCCGGGCGGAGACAGGCCTCGGAGGCCCGCAAGACCCGCACCTGCTGGTTCTTCTCTCACCACCCTGACGGCTGCGTCCTGCCTGCCCACCGCTGCCCATTTGCCCACGGGCCAGAGGACCTGCGGCCGCCCCTGACCCCCATGAGGAAACAGCAAATTCCATGAGCCACATACTGTGTAATCTGCAGCCTGGTCGGAGGCCGAGCCGAGAGCAGGGCTCCCCACCCGCCAGGCCCTCCTGGCCCTGGGCGGCTGAGGCACCCTGGGCCTGTCTCAGCTGAGGCCAGAGTCCCACCCAGCCCTCATTGTTGCACCTGCTCTCTCCTCACCCCCGTAACTAGAGGCCCACTCTGCCACGAGGCAGCCACCCGACATTCCTTCGGCCACAGCCCCGGTCCCTGGCGGGCAGGCTTGGGCAATGGGGACAGGGGAGATGAGAAGGCTGTGCTGTCCTCATCTCCCCCGCTTTCCCTCCCTGCCCCGGCTTCTCCCCTGCAAGGCCTCAGGAGAGACTCCTCAGGGCCCAGGGCACCCCTGCAGACATGGCCCTCATGGTGTTGCTGCCCCTGGCCACTCTCCCTACAGCAGGGTCACGGACAGAGGGGCTCCAAAGAGCCATACCTCCTGCAAGGAGCCCTCTGCCCCAGCCGAGGGCCGAGTGTGTCTGTCCAGCGCAGCCTCCTCCGCGAGTCCCAGGGCAGTGGCCATAGCTCCCACATCTGCTCTGGGTACTCGTGGGTTCCAGAGCCGTGGCACCGGGTGGACAGGGGGGCTTGGGCTGAGAGCTGGGCTCAGCACCCCTCCCCAGCTAGCGCTACCATATACTTCACCAGGGCCCTATGGTGTCCACCAAGACACCCCCTGAGGGCTTCAATGTTCATCTCTGAAGGGTTGGGATGGAGCAGGTGGCATGCCAGCGTGGCGCTGGCTGGGGGTGCCCAGCCATGTCCTGTCACAGGCAGGCGGACAGCTGCCCTAAGCCCCGAGGTTGGGCTGACAGGGTATGTCAGCAGTATCCATGGCAGTGGGAATGGCGGGCCGGGCAGAAACTGCTGGTACAGGTGCTGGTGGCAGACCCTGGAGGTGATGGGGACTACTGGAGCGATGGTCCCGGCAGGGCCACGGGGAGAGCCGTGGCATGGCCGCCTGCACACGGACACTTGAGGGGTGTGGGCCAGGTGGCTGTGAGTTGCCATGGCCAGAGCGATCGGGTAGGCTTCTTACCAGCTCAGGGCTCTGCCCTCGGACACCCGCAGCTAGCTGCTCTGTGCCCTGGCACTGGGCCGGGCTGTCTGTGTGCCCCTGAGGGTCTGTCGGGCGCCAAGGTCAGCGTCCATGGGGAGTGGCCCCCAGGCCAGCTCTGTGGAGTCTGCCACGGCCCCGGGCTGAGCTGTGGCAGGCCGAGACCCCAGTGGAGCAGCCACAAGGAGTGTGAGTTCGCCACAGTCATAGCAAAAACAATAAAAGCTGGCTTGTTTACAGAGCATGGTCAGTTAACTTGATTGTTTTTTTAAAAAGATTTATTTATTTATTGGAAAGTCAGATATACAGAGAGGAGGAGAGACAGAGGAAGATCTTCCGTCCGATGATTCACTCCCCAAGTGAGCGCAACGGCCGATGCTATGCCATTCTGAAGCCATGATCCAGGAACTTCTTCCGGGTCTCCCATGCGGGTGCAGGGTCCCAAAGCTTTGGGCTATCCTCGACTGCTTTCCCAGGTCACAAGCAGGGGGCAGGATGGGAAGTGGAGCTGCCGGGATTAGAACCAGCGCCCATATGGGACCCCGGCACGTTTAAGGCGAGGACCTTAGCCACTAGGCCACGCTGCCAGGCCTGAGCTTGATTGTTTTTGCATGCACAGCGAGGAAAGGGCCGTGCTGTATTAGAAAGCCCAAGACCACAGCCCCAGCTCGCTGTCGCTCGGAGCCACCCTCGTGTCCGCCACAGGGGCTCACAGACCTCCCGTGCCAACAGGCTTTGGCGCCTGTGCCCAGTCCCACCTTCCCAGGTGTGTGCTGCACAGGAAGCAGGTTGTCTGCAGTGCCGGCATCCCCTGTGGGCGCTGGTTCGAGTCCTGGCTGTTCTGGCCAATGTGCCTGGAAGATAGTGGAAGGTGGCCACCCAGGAGGGGGACCAGGATGGGACTTCTGGCTTCTGCCTACCCCAGACGTGCGACTGTGGTGAGTGAGGCTGTTGGTAAAAGGTCTTCCTCTGCTTTTCAGATAAACAAATCTTTGGGAAAAAACTGGGTGTTTGAGAAACATCTGAATTCTTTTAGGCTGTTCCCTTAGTCATGAGAAACGGTAGCAGCGACACAGAAACTCCAGCTCCTTGGGGAGGTGGGCTGAGTCCCCAGCGGTGGTGTACCCCAAAGAGAGACCCAGAGCAAGGGGGGCTGGGAGGGGACAGCCTGCAAGCAGGACAGGGACACGGAAGCAGGTGCCCTCAGGGAGCTGGGGCCAGCACACTGCCAGTGCCTCCCAGGATGCCCAGGAAAACCGTGGGGTGGTGAGCAGGGTCAGGGGGTGGTGAGCAGGGTCAGAGGGTGGCTCACATCACCCCTGCAGGGGTGTCCTGACCAGCTTGATGAGACCAGCCCAGGGGTCCTCGGCCCAGCCCTTTCTCCCTGCCTGGCAGGAACCAGCCTGGGGCTTCAGGGCAGGTGCATGCAGCCCCACGGGGGTCCTCGCCCCCTCGCAGGCAAGCCCCATAGCCCCTAGCACCTGTCTCCTGTGCTGCGCCCCCTCCTTAGGGCTCTCTGCATTTGGTTAAACCATGCGCTGGGATCCCTTATGGGCACCAGTTCATGTCCCAGTGGCCCTCGGGCCGGGCTGTGGGTTTGGGTTTCTGGCTGCTGGCATTGGCCCCGCTTCCCCACCGCCACGGGAGGTGACGGGGGAGCTGGCAGGTGCCAGTCTGTCTACTGCCAGTGCTTTCCAAGGAATTTCCCATGGTCCTTGTGTAGCCACCTCATGTGGATTTCAAAGTATGTCATTTCAAGGAAATGTTCACGTGGAACAGACCAGTTTAGCAATAATCCCAAATACATGTATTCCATAAAACCTTTTTTTCTATGAAACGTAGGCCAAGGGTCCTCGCATTTATTGCATTCAGCAGTGTTGCCCTGTCTCCATCCGCAAGTTTAAGCATGGCGCGGTTCACTGGCGTTAGGGCTTTAGCTTGGGGGAGAAGTTTGTCCGTGAACATGGGCTTACACTCACCTGAGTCTTACAGTCAGACCTAACCCGCTCCGGCCACTGGCTCCAGCCACTTCCTCATCCTGGAAGCCCCTACCCTGAGCTGCACTGGAGCGGGGGACTGCTGGCACGAATCTCCACCCCCACCGTGGGGTGGGCCACCGCCATGTTCACGACCTTGGGTGGCCTGGCTGGCAGCCCAGGCGGGGATCGGCACAGGCCTTCCCCAAGGCATGCGTTCGGGTCCGGTCAGTAACCCGAGATGGACTTGGGTCCATCTTGAGAACTCCAAACACTGGCCAGCAGAGGGGGGCGCCCACAGGTCCCGCCCCCTCGGCCTTTTCTGCTGGGAGCTTGCTTAAGTACTTGTTTACATTTCAGGGAACAAACCTCCCAGTGACCCCTCCTGGGTCTGCCTGCCTGCTGGCCTGAGTGCACGTGACAGTCATGGGGGTGGGGAGCGGCTTCAGCCGTGGCTGCAGGCGCGGTCCACGCCACTGGCTCCTGCGCAGGTTTTCTGCACTGTTCTGGTCCTGCGTGACCAAGCAGACATCTGCCGGGGAGGACAGAGGGCTCCCTTTGTTGCCATTCTGAGCCCAGAGTGTTCCCAGGGCCCGGGTGGTCAGCACAGCTGCCTGGCCACATCTTCCCCACTGGAAGTCGGGCATGCTGAAAGTCGCATTCCTCAGAGGGGCGGCCGAGTCACGCCAGCTCTGCTGCTGGGAGCTGCGTGGCCATGGCTGCTGCCCGTGGCTTCCTCCATCCCGTCCATGGTACAAGAAAAGGCCCAGATGGCTCTGCCTTGTGTCTGTCCCTGGACGTCAGCAGAGGACGGAAGACAAGGCCACGCCACGTGGGCCCAAGGTGGCGGCTTCGGGCTCTAGATCTGGGTCCCGTCACCTATCAGGACAGCCTCCCAGGAATCGGGAGAACCCGCAAGGCCTGTCAGGGCTTCCCACGGCCCTGGCCCAGGCAGGTGCCCTGGGGCCTGTAGGCGGCTCTGGAACGTGGTACTCAGGGACGGTGGGCACAGCCTGTCTTCTGTCCCCTCCCTGCGCCTAGGTGAGCTTCAGAATCGGGAAGGAAGAAAAAGAACTGTCCCCACACCCCAGAACATCAACATGGCTCTCAGTGGGACCCCCCCATGGGAGCCATGGACACTGCACAGGCCGACCTTGGCTTTGTAGGGACCACATCAAGTCATGCTTCCCATGGACAGGTCCCATCCATCTCGCAGGCTGGGCTGCCGTGTGAGTGTGGTGTGCACTGGGATCCCCAGGTCTTCCCAGTCCTGGGCAGGAAGGCCTGGGCCGAGGTCCCCATGAGGATTTGGGAGACGCCAGAGGCTGGTGTGCAGGGCGGGCAGGTCCTGTTGAGTGGGCTGTGTCACCAGCCACCTGGGAGGTGCAGGCCAGGAGGCTCAGGGCTAACCCTCGGCACCTGGCGTCCACGCTGCGGCGCTCCAGACCAAGGACACAGAGAGATGGCAGGTGCCATATGCAAGCTCAGCTTGTGTCCCAGTCTCTGTTGGGCTCCCACCTGGGCAGGGGCACCCATGGGGCTCCTCAGGCCCGTGGGGTCCCTGACTGGGCAGGGTGGCCAGTGGCAGGCACGGCCGTGGGGCCCCTCAGGCCCATGGGATCCTGCCTGGGCAGGGTGGCCCGTGGGCAGGCACAGCCGTGGGGCCCCTCAGGCCTTCGTGTGCAGTGCAGTTTCGTTCCCCAGTCTGGGACTTGACAGAAGCTGGTTTGCAGCCAGGGTCTTCGTAGACATCGAGGGCCCTCAGCTGAGGAAGGGGTCCTTACCTGTGGACAGAGAGACCAAAGTGACACTAGGGGTGCAGCGAGAGCTGGGGGTCCTGCAGGCAACAGAGGCAGGGAGGAGAGGGGAGGGAGACCTCCAGATGGGGGCTCCCTGGCCTGCAGTGAGGCACATCATGATTCCTGGGCAGAGCTGGGGCCACAGCAGCCTGGTTCCACATGTGGCCTCTCAGACAGGTGGCCTCTAGGGAGGGCCGGGGTCCGTGTCAGCCCACAGGCTGCAGCTCGATGCCCTGTCCCCCTCCTCAGGGGTGGTACCCTCACGGCTGCTGTGTCCCTGGAGAAGTCACAGGTAACCACCAGCAGGCTGGCACCAGCGGGCAGCATGTGGAGGGCACAGGAGGTCACCCTCCCTCGACTGCCCGAGGCGTCTGCACTGCCCCCTCGCATGGATGGGGACCTCAGGAGGCAGGGGCTCTTGCCCGAGGTCACACGGCAGTCTGCAGCCCCAGAGCTGGGGCCAGCCCCCTCTCCCCAGCACCCACTATGTCCAGGGGCCTCCAATGGCCGCCCTGGCCCTGCCCGGGACTCTCGGCTGGTGGGAGGGGGTTCTGTGGCAGGGGCTGGAGCAGGGGGCATCCTCAGCCACCCAGAAAGGTTGTTGACAGGAAGTCGCTTGGCGCCTTCCCTGGTCTCAGCCACACACACACAGCAAAACAAAAGCAAACCTCAGCCAGCAGCCCACGCGCCGGCGCTGACTGCCAGGCCTGAGCCGGCGGTGCGGCAGGGGCCGAGTTCACCTGACTTAACCTCCGTTCCAGGCTCTGGGGTGCGTCCCCTCTGCCCGCCCAGGGCCTTCCTGCCAAGTGCTGTGTCTGCACGCGCTGGGGCCCCTGGGGCCGTGGGGAGGAGGCTGCTGGCCAGGCACGTGCGCCTGGGACCCGCCCCGCATCTTTGGCTGGAAGACCGCAGCTCACTCCCAAGCTGCAGGGTCAGCTGGGGCCAGAGGGGTCAAGGATGGGAGGACCCAGAAGTGTGGAATGGCTCCGACTTCACCACCCAGGCTGGACCCACCGGGCCTGCCCAGCCCGGAGTGGAGCCGCCTCCAGCTGCCAGCAGGCGCTTGCCCATGGGGAGGTCCCAGGGAGCTGGCTGCAGGGAGAGCGTGTCCTTGTCCCCAGGGATTCTGATCCTGTATCCCCTCTTGGGACGGGGCAGGGTGGGGAGCAGAGCCAGCGGGGGCTCTGCAGTGGGACTTTAGTGCCCAGGTGGGCCACTCTGAGGCCGGGCACCTCCCTGTGTGCCAGCTGTCGTCGGGCCTGTGCTGTGATGGGGAGGGAAGCAGGGGCTCCTGCCAGAACAAACCGAGGCCAGGGAGACCAATGGGCACAAGGGGCGTGGCTACCCTCGCTGGGAGGCAGCCACCGTGGGTCCCTCTCTGGGAGCTGGAGCCGCTGAGGGAAGTGGAGGGTGGGGGCGCCCGGGAAGTGGGGAGG